GATGTGTTAAAATATTTATTATTTTTCTTTTTTATTAAGTATTATCCTTGTTTATATATTCTTAAAGTTGCCCAACCGACTAGACAAAATGTGCTGCCAACTGGAGGACAAATCGTGAACCTTTCGGGGCGGAGTCAAAAATATCGATTATTTTCCTCAGAGTAATGTAATAATATAGCCCAGGGTTTCTGCGAACTTTAATAGTGATCAGCTGATTAAGAAATTTAAACGAAACTTTTATTTTATTGTAAATTGTGGATTATTTTTGGCTGTTATTTTAAGAATTCTAAACCGTATTAACATACAACCGTACAACATATCGAAATAATGATTTCTTTCATAATTTCGATATGTTGGTACATTATTTATAATTTATGATAATGCTAATTGTTGTTAATTAATATTTTAAAAAAGCTACATACCTATTTTAATTTGATTTAATGCAGGTTTTTAAAAGAATCATTTCATTCTTAGATTATTTTATTCTAAATTGAGTGCTTTACGAATTTTATGATATTTTTTTGAAAACATGAAACTTTTTACATTTTTGATGCCAACTAATTGGCATGGTATTATTGGTATGGAAATTAGCCAAGAAAGAAAAGAATTGGCTATAACTTGTAATTTTCCGAAAAAAAAACATATTATACCTATATCGCTGAAAAGCTTAAAAAATGGCGCTTTTTATGAAGTCATGGCCAACTATGGTTTCAATTTAAAAAAAAACATAATGTTTGTGTCATATGTCAAAAATTACAGGTTTTAGAAAAAAAACAGAAAACACAAACTCATTAGGTATGTGATAATCTACAACTTTTATCTGAAAACTTTTTGTCTAAAATACCGTATGATCGAATAAAAACGGCTTCAGCGATGGCTATGAAATGACGATCGATGATATTTCCCATATAATTTTACATAGGTATAAAATGACAGCGATCTTCATTTCATAGCCATCGTTGACGCCGTTTTTATTCGATCATACGGTAGATTATAATGGAATTAGAGGCAATTTTCTCCATTTAACCGACTCTCTATCTCCAGTAGTTTCCGAGATACCCATAGAGAACATCGTAGGAAACTCACCCTGTATAGTATTTAGAAACTAACTATTATTATTATTTGACTAGATTAATTTGATTAATAAAACTCGATTAATTTAATTTAAAATAAATTTCATCAGATTTTTTTTTCGTATATTCTACTACCAGAAAACCAAAATTATATGATAACGCACTTTTTAACGAAGTTGAAGGAAGAGATATAGTGTATCTATCACAATACTTAATAGAATTACTACAATTAGAAGAAAAACAAAAAGAAAAAATACCCAAATACCTTCACCTACTACTCATCTACAAAATAAACTAATATAATCTCTTATACAAACACTACACAACTACTTCTTCACTACTTCAACCCCTACTACACTGAAAAAATTATCGAACACTAATTAATCAAACAAAAAGAAAAAATAACCAAATTATCCCTTCACCTACTACTTAACTGCAAAATAATAAACTATAAAAACACTACTAAACTATTTCTGGTATTCTACACTAAACATTATAATTAAACTTAATAATATTAATCTAATTTTACACTACAACCACTACAACTACAAAGAAATAAGAACATTTTTTAAAACTAGAAGAAACAGAACCTCGATACGTGCAACCAGTATAATAGATCAAGCGGACAAAGAATATAAAATACTTTAAAAATGTGCATTCAGAAAGAAAAAATATGTCGAAAATTATCTAAACAAACATTTTTTTTTCTTATCAGTGAAAAGCATCGGCCTCGTCGGCCTTGCGGAATTTGTCGGGTATTTACAATGGTCGAATTGTATAATTACCAGTTTTTATAGCATATCTAATAGACAAAAAGTATCTGGTCGATTAGTAACCAATTGGCACAGTCCGAAAATTATCGATTTTTATTTTCTCTGTTTTTATTGGTCGTTTCAAAATTCAGAGTAACAAAAAATATTTTTCTGTAGTAAAAGACTGTGAAATACGCCCCGCCATCTGGTGCTTTACATCCATAAACGTCTTAGGTTGAGCTACTTGGGTATTATCAAAATCTATAAACATTCGTATACTTGGCGTATCAATAGCAAATGTATTTGTGGAATGCATTGTAAAATTTAAAAGTTTCGCCACTTTTGGCCGGCACTGTATGTATATTATTATGTAGTCACTTAGTGAAAAGTTACTCCATTATTTCCCTCGATTTTGAGATCTACCGCACGCTACACACACAATCAACTATTTTACAGTCTTTTTCGATAACTCGCTATAGTGTCACTGTTAAATTAAATTCTGCCACAAAAAAAAATCCTTCTAGATTTACAACCTCTAAATAAACAACTACCAGTTGTAGAATAAATAATAAATAACATAAAATATGCTCAATAAAGACTGACAAATCCACAAAATTTCAAATCAAATTCAAATGTGTCCACCCTCTACATTTGGATAGCATTTACTCCCTCCATCCAGCACAGTAAAGATGTTTCTCTATGGCTACCATGACGTCGTTTTTTATATCATATTGTATAACAATGTTAGCTATTAACAACACACTTCACAATATGAATATTCAACAAAAATAGAAAACAACTTCGATGTAATTTTATTTACAGCCGGCAAAAACTATTTCAATAACAATTGTCTCATAAAAATGCAAAACAGCCCCACAAGAATTCTCGAGATAAAACAACGTAAAAAACTTACAAGTTCCATTCTAAACGTTTCAACAATAGTGAATATTAAAACCGAATGCATTTTGTGCACCATGTACTTGAAAATATTATTAAAAAACCATTAGGGCAAACAGTAATTTTGCTGTTTATGCTATGTATGTAAAGAACAAGGAACATGTTGAAATTATGACTAAGAGGTAATTTTGAAGAAAATCTATAAATAATTCCCTTGGTGTCTGTAGTGTTTACTGCCATGACAGATTTAACAAATACAGGGTGAATCAGAAAACATGTGTCATCTCTCGTGGGGAGATTCCTCGCGTAAAATAAGATTTATTTTTCATATTAGTATACCTAGGTCCGTTTCTGCTTTGTTTCCTGAGCTACAGGGTGTTAAAAGTCTTTTTAGCCGACCATACCAACAGGTACGGTAGGCTATTAAGATCGACAAAAAAAAGTTTTTTTAATTTCACTCAAAATGAGTTTTATTTGGGTCATAAATGACCTAAATACAAAATATTTTCATGGTGTCTGTCTGTAACACAATAACTCAAAAACCGCTAAACCGATTTTAACCAAATTTGACACAAAAATACTGTGGCACCCGAGAATCTGGCCATTAGTTTTTGGTGGGGGTGGGGGGTTGGTAAGGGGGTATGGGAGGGGGGTAAAAATTTAAAAAAATCGTAGCTCCAAAATTACAGTAGCTAGCGAAACGCAGTTTTCAATTTAAGATTTGGAATAATATTTGCAACAAAATTTGTAATAACATCAAAATCAGTCAAAGTCGCAGTTTTTGAGGTAATTGAAACTAAAAGAACTGCCTACCAACTTTTTATTAACATATTTTAGTATGGGCGGCTATACGTGCCTCCCAAATTCTTTTAACAATTCGAATTAAATTTTGAGGGTAAAAGTTATAAGTAAGTGCTACAAATTTTAATGCTAAAAAAGTGTCGATAGATTCACCAGGGACGTGCATATGGGTTATCTCTGGAATATTTTGTTCAAAAATAAACATGTGCGCCACGGATTTTCTCTGTCCTGTTAGCAAAATTGTATAGACCGTTTAATGCCGATTAAAAGTTGTATCTTGACACAATAAAATTAATACATTATATATTTATCCTAATTTATTATTAAAATTTATGTCACTTTTGCTATCAACAGCAAATTAAAAAAAATAATTGTAGATATTGACAATAGAAAATTTTAAAGGTTGCTATTGGACTTGGATTAAAGCAAGTTAATAAAATTGCGTTTATCTCATCAAGGAGACCGATATCGACAAAATATCAAGAGGAAACTTTTAATCGGCATTAAACGGCCCACACAACTTTGCTAACAAAAGAGAAAAAAACTCAGTGGCGCACATATTATTTTTTTTAAATGTTCCAGTAATAACCCATATGCACGTCCCTGGTGAATCTATCGACTCTTTTTTAGTCTTATAGTAACTTTTGCCCTCAAATTTAATTCGAATCGCTAAAAGCACTTGAGAGAAAATTATAATAAATTAAAAAAACTGGAACCTCCTGTAGCTACGAAACAAAGCAGAACCGGACCTATGTTGATATGAAAAATAAATCTTATTTTTACGTGAGGAATCTCCCGACGAGAGACGACACGTGCTTTTTGAAACACCCTGTATATTGGTTGAAATTCCGCGAAATTTTGTGCTGTGGTTAATTAAGAACGAATAAAACCGCAATAACTATAATGTTAAAACGGTTTTTTGATCACTTTACTTGTCGATTACATAAAATGAAACAGGGCCATACAGAAGAATGTTTATTGCGACAAGGACATGTAATACGTACCATTTCTGTTTCTGTCCATATTTATTTCATTAACGCAAGTACCTACTATGTAACCCGTTATGATACTGGTCTCGGGCAAGAAAGTTGTGCGATGGTAAAACTGCATTCCGCACGGCCATACGGCTTTTTTTCCGAAACCGTTTCAAACAACTGGCGAAAGTTATACCGATTTTTCATCGAAATGTGCAAGCCCATTCGATACAGCGGTCTCAGCACATTAGAACCACGAAAAAACATCGATAAAAACAGCTAAATCTAACGGTGTACACTGCAATGTTTATGCGGTGTCAAACGCCAAAAATTTCATCAAAACACTCAATTGTTTTCGACGTTCCTCCATAGACTCTCGATAAATCTATAGAATATTCGTTTTTCTGTGGTTTTAATAAATAAAATACAGTATAAGAATTAAAATTAGGTTGTTTTATTGGGTGGTGATGGTGAATTCGGTATAAAAAACAGTTGGTACGTACCTCTCCGCTCTCGGCCGCCGGAGAATCGTCTAGGATGTTGTAGATGATGGGAGGTAATCCGGGTTTGCCCAGCAGTGAAAATCCAAAGCCCGAACTTTCATTTCTATTCAGCACTACTAACAACTCCTCGGCCATCGCCGAATACCATCGATTTTGGTTTTATTTCGCCCACTTTCTGCACAGCACTTACACACTCTACATAACCTCGACCGTAACTGAGTAGAGCGGGCGGATTGACGCTAGAGGGCAGCACCGATCGGACTTTGGATGGATCGGGGTGGAGCTAGTGGCGCTCGTGTCGCTGCAGGACCGTATTCAGGCCGTGCAATTTTGTGAGACCGCATTAATAATTAGTTTTAAAATATCATATTTAGCTAGTTAGTTTTTTATTGTCAAATTGTAGTTAGTTATCAGTTATACACTTTTTAAACTCTCTTCCAAATAAATATACAGGGTTATTCATCTCATTCGACACGGAGTAATGTAGCCAAATGATTGGATTTAAGTGTGAGTGATGGGATCGTTAGAGGACTACTGAACCTACAATTTGTTTTTTTTAATAGAACACCCTGTATATTATTACATTTTTAGTTTTTACGATTAAAATAAAGGTAAATTTGATTAAGGTTTACCGCACTTTAGTCTTACCGTTTTTAAAATACCTATTTACGATTTTGTGAAAATCCAGTAACAGTTTTAATTCTTCATTTCTCTAGGCGTCTCTAGGCTTTAAAAGCTAGTAATTATTTAACATAAATTTTCGGACACTCTGTGTAAGGTAGTATTATTTTTATTATCGCAATACAAAATTTAAGTAAATAGAAAATCTTCAGTACAATTATTTGGTTTTAAAAACATAAATACTCCTAGAAAAATAAAGCATTAAAATTTTTACTGCATTTTCACAAAATCGTAAATATTTCAAAAATGGTAAGTTTGAAGTGCTATAAACCTTAATCAAATTTACCTTTATTTTAATCATAGAAACTAAAAATGTAATAATATACAGGGTATTCAATTTAAAAAACTACAACTTTGATATTTTTTATTTATTTGGGACATTCTGTACCTTTTAAAAATAATTTTAAATTGTAGCTTTAGTAGTCCTCCAACGATCCCATCAGTCACAATTTCTAAAAATCTTTGTCTGGCTACAATACTCCCTGTCAAATGAGGTGAATAACCCTGTATAAAATTATCTATCTATCAAAATAACATTTTATTTCTAGGAAGCGCAAAAAAAAACAGAAATACACAAATACTTAATTCAACAACATCATTTAATGATTAGTTAAAAAAAAAGGAACAAAATATTTGTTTTTCCATCCTATTATAAATTGTTATGTTGTTTAATAGCCCACTAAAAGTTGTAAATAAAAGAGAAAAATACAGTTAAATCGACAATTTCACCAAGTATTCATAATCCATTCTACTATACATAATATTCTTGTGACATCACAGATCTTCACTTGTTCTTCTTCACAATGACAGGACCAATATTGTCACCGGTTTCTTTGTTATGATTGGCGTGAGATCCATCACAGTAAGGCCACTATAAATTCAAAAAACAAACAATCAACAACAAAACAAATTAAACTCAATTATCTGTATTCAGACCACCCTGTATAAAGTAAAAAAACAACAGGACAAATGATTTTTTCAAAATAAAACACTAATTCACCAAAAGTAAAGTGTTTTGGTGTATTGTAGCAAATTAGTGTTTAATTTTGATGTTGTAACATCAAAGGTTCCAACCCTCAACTGTAATAAATGATTTTTTGAGGATAATATATTAATATTCTTACATTTTTACTTTTCCAGCACCGGCAAAAAGCTGCTTTTTCAGATATATCCTCTACATCGATCGTATCCACAACTTTCGGGTTGCTCAACTGAACAATCTTGTTCGTTCTGCCTGAGCATGCTACTCTGGCCTTTGGACAGTACGCCCTGTATACGGTATATCCTACACCAGCAGCTAGAGCAGTTGGTGGAACTAAAGCTAGCCAATCTTTAACTAAAAGAGAAGAATTGTTAAATACTTATATCCATCCATGATAGATAGATAAGAAATGATTTTGAATGTGGATTGTTTATATCAGAAACTGAAATAGTTCAAGGCGTAATGAGTGCGTATGTGTTTAATGTATTTATAGCATGTTTTTAAATAAAAAATTATTAAAAAAAATGATTACTTACATCCTAACCTAAACCATCCTCCAAAAGTGTCTGGTATGGGGAGTTCTGATAAATATCCGGGCACGGAGACTTTAACTAAATGCGCTACCGACTGCATGTTTATGTAATATCCTCTCAATTAACAAAAACTATCCAAATAAACGTAAATTTTCGGGATTTTTTAAGTAGGAAGCACCAAATAATTCGAACAGCTGACCGGGGACAACGAAAAAACCACTGCACACGGGCAATCGGCCAAATCGTGCCACTTTTTGCTCTTTTTACCTTGAAACGCGATCTTCACGCTCTTACAATTCCATCGGTCCGTATCACAATCTTCTAACAGAATACGATCTGTTATCTTATTTTTATTTGCGTACTGTGATGTAATTAATTCGTTATTAAATGGATTTGTTCAATCTCGAACTGTTTTGATTAAACAGGCCGCCAAAAAATGAAAAGTCATTTTAGGTGTTTTTCTGGTTGCCTACACTCATTTCTATTTCATGTCTAATTTGAAACGCATATTATATAGGGTGATCTGATTTACTCCAGCAAATTCAATTTGTGATAAATCATAGAATGAAGACCAACCGTAATACTAACTTATAATATTGCTGGTGCTGTGAGTTCAGTTGGCTTAGAAATGACGATCGATGATATTCCTCATATAATTTTACATATAAAATGACGGGGTAATTCATTTCATAGCCAATATCGCAGACGCCGTTTTTTCGATCGTGCGGTATATGCTCTTTAATTTTGTAATAACATTTTATAAGTTTCTATTAATATTACAAATAATAGACCAAAGATCTACAGCGTTCGGTAGTTTTATATTTCATATGGCATTTTCCACAGCAAATTTTTATCAAAGCCGCCTAATGATTTTTCTCTCGTATGTTACCGTTGAAAGAGCCATATGATATAATAATGGCTGTATCTGCGAAACCATTACAAATTTTGAAATACTTTAAATACAAAATATGTTCATTTTTTAATTCCCAATCTAATAAAAAAATAATATACTGGGGGGGGGTATATAATACCTAATATAATTTTGGTTTCACGACAGTTCTTGTATTTGTATTAATTTTTTTAAGGTTGAAAAAACGTATGTCTAAAAAGAAGCCATTTAAAAAAAATCATCCCGATCCACTCACACTTTTTTGAGCCACCCTACAGAAGTGAAAATATTTTCCTGAAATTCATCCTCGTACATACTTCAGGTTTGCACCAAACCAAACCAAAACAAAATTCCCAAGTTTTTTATTCTAGGAGCTACAGATCTCCGACGCACTCTTGTCGGACCCTGTATAACAGTTTTTTTTAAATCACTTAATGCGCTACCTATTGACAGTTAAAAAAACGATTTAAACAATTAAAAATTATGCGCTCAAAACATTTATTAATATTAATGAATATCCGATGCATGATAAATATTACTTTGATTCAGTGATTCATATCTAAATACTAGAATCTAGAATCTGACTGCATGATTTGTCAAAAGTAAATGATTCAACCTAACGAGGTAGTATTTTATCCGTATTTATTTCATTGACTAGGTAATTTAATTGTCAGAATAACCAATCTAAAACAGGTTTTTCCCCAGAATATTTATAGTTCCTCGGAATACCTGGTTAGACTTGCCCATGTCCTTTCATTATATGAATAGGTCTTACTAGACATGTGGAATCTATTATGGGCTATTTGTATGCGTACTGTGTAGTCAGTGTGCAAGAGGTAGAAAAAATGAAATTTTCTACAGTAGGGTGGTTCAAAAAAATCGACTATATTTTTTTTCACTGTATACTCTGAAATAGACACTTGAAGTGAAAAAAATAGTAGATTTTTTTGACCCACCCTAATAAGTATAGATGACTAAAAACTAAAATGTAAATATTTTTTTATGAAGAAAATCAGCAGTTCTACATATATATTATATACTTAAATAGTAGGTATATTGTATAGAGGAAGAGGAAGAGGAAGAGGAAGAGGAAGAGGTAGAGGTAGAGGAAGAGGAAGAGGAAGAGGAAGAGGAAGAGGAAGAGGGAGAGGGAGAGGGAGAGGGAGAGGGAGAGGGAGAGGAGAGGGAGAGGAGAGGAGAGGGAGAGGGAGAGGGAGAGGAGAGGGAGAGGGAGAGGGAGAGGGAGAGGGAGAGGAGAGGGAGAGGGAGAGGGAGAGGAGAGGGAGGGAGAGGGAGAGGAGAGGAGAGAGGGAGGAGAGGGAGAGGAGAGGGAGAGGGAGAGGAGGAGGAGAGGGAGAGGAGAGGGAGAGGGAGAGGGGAGAGGGGAGGAGGGAGAGGGAGAGGGCAGGGAGAGGGAGAGGGAGAGGGAGAGGAGAGGGAGAGGAGAGGGAGAGGAGAGGAGAGGAGGGAGAGGAAGAGTGAAGAGGAAGAGAAGAGGAAGAGGAAGAGAAGAGGAAGAGGAAGAGGAAGAGGAAGAGGAAGAGGAAGAGGAAGAGGAAGAGGAAGAGGAAGAGGAAGAGGAAGAGGAAGAGGAAGAGGAAGAGGAAGAGGAAGAGGAAGAGGAAGAGGAAGAGGAAGAGGAAGAGGAAGAGGAAGAGGAAGAGGAAGAGGAAGAGGAAGAGGAAGAGGAAGATTAGATACTCTTTGTAGATGGGCCCATTGTTGTCTATTGTTGGCAATGCGGGCCCAAGTTATCACTGCTAATTTCCTTTTCCTAAAGACCCATTATTGTCCCATCTCAGGTTCGGTCTTCTTCTAGGTCTCTTAATTCCGCGTGAATACCATGCTGTAAATTTTTTGGTCCATCTGTTGTCCGTTCTTCTTGCCAGGCGTCCTGCCTACTTGAGGGATTTGATTCTGTTGATGACATCTATTACCTAGCTCCTTTTGTCTTATCCACTCTATTCTTTTACGGTCTTTCTTGGTTATTCCCGGCATATTTCGTTCCATTGTTTAATAAGGAACTTCCTTCGTTCCATTCTTTAATATCCGTTTTAATTGTCTAGAGGTTTCGCATACATAAGTTATTACTGGTAGTACTCATTGGTCCATTGTTTTCTTCTTTAGACAGAGTTGCATGTTAATTAGGCTTTAATATGATTGAGTTTCTTCCATAAGTACACCATACTAACTTTTTTTTCTTTAATTTTTGAATTGTTACGGTTTTTTTAACAGGACACCTCAACAAACATCTCAGTCGATTGAAACTAAGAAACAGCGGCAAATGCAGATTTTGTGTGGAGAATGGGGAAACACCAGAACACCAGTAGCTCTCTAGTTGACAATAGACACAAAACAGTCATCTGTAGCTAGATACTAGTTGGTCACGTAGGCACGAATATATCTGCACATTTTCTAATTGTTGTAACTCCCTTTTATTGTTATTTGGTAACACGGAATACTACTAACTAGTATAGTTTTATTTCAAGACCATAACATATTACAGTTATAACTCAAGAAAGGAGGATACAGTAGATTTGTAAAGTCGCGGTCATTAACACCCCTCTCAAGTCTCTTACACTCCATGCCAGCAATTAAGGGTAAAAAACGGATCTACCCATTTCTAGCAACACTAAATATAACAGAAAACCCTGTACATAAATTGCAAACGTCAATCATAAAACAAAAAAAAACAAACATGTCATACTTAAAATTTCTATGTTTATTAATCAACGGTAAGTTTTGTAAATAAAAAAGTTTAACATACGGTTCCTGACTAACATTTCTACACCTAGCCGTACGTAATGTACGAATATACGCGCTGCAAGGCAGTCTAAAAGAGAAAAACCGTACTATCGCAACACTTTCGGTCGCAAACGCGCGATCAGGTGGATCATGGCAAAATGTAAAAGTATTTCGTTACAAAGAGTTTGTTACAATACGCACGGCAGTGTCTTATCTTATACTCTTTAATCACCCAGATTAATTAAACCTACACATACACTCTTATCGTTCAGATGACAACACGAAATAAAATCCAACTTTGTTCCACGTAGAAAAGTGTTTTTTGAAAGTGCAGATCTCGAAACAGTGTCCTGGTGAAGGAGAAACATCACCATGAAGTACCTCGTCATTATATTTTGTTTATTTTTAAGCACCCAGTGTGAAGGTGAGTTTTATTATGTTTTTTTTTCTTGATAATTAATATACAGACGATAAAAAAAATGACGTTATCACACGAAATTACTGATAATAACATCAATACGTCTAATTAAAGTGTGCTTGATATAAATAGTTTTAGCATAAAAATACAAATTACCAAAAATTCATAGTAAAAACAAAGTAAAATATTTTTCTTATATGTTTAATAAATTTAGATGAATTTCAAAAAAAGCGCTCGTTGAATGGCATTTTTTTCAACTTGCGCAATTCTTTTTTATACAGGGCGCGTCATGGAACAATGACAATATCATATTTCTTATTTTAAATGCAACACCCTGTGTGTTATTCATTTTTTTGGATTCTTCAAAGTATTATTAACATATTTTATGTATACAGTGTCGTATATACCTGTTAAATATAATGTTATACAATGTCATATACCGTATGACCGAAAAAACAAGTCGCCAAAGACGGCTGGGGAATGACAAAGATGATAATTTTAGCGAGGTTAATTCATTTATTAAAATCGACATAAAACTTAACACTAAATATACACGTTAGCGTAACTAGCAATTCATCCTGGGGGGGGGGCCTAGGTCTTCTGTTTTTTGAAAAATGAAGAATAATTTATAAAACACGTTTTTTGAATAAAACGTTTACATGCATTTCTCTATCAAATAAATTTCATAGACTTGGTTATCAAACCGTGTTCCCGTAGACTACTTAAATAGCTACAAATTTTCTAAAAAAAAATAAAAATTAACAATTAACATTTTTTGAACACAACAAAATAATATTAACTAAACAAAACTAGAAACGTCGCATTTTTACTACATCACAAGCAAATAAAAATTAATACGTAGCCAAGAGTCATAATTCAAGATTTCTCTGGGGGGTGCCCAGCAGTACATAGGGGGGGGGCGCTCCCGGGCACCCTTGTAGTTACGCCAATGAATATACAGCGTTGCATTTCAAATAACGAAGTTTTTTTGTCAAGTAAATATTTAAAATGGACCAGCATTTTTTGATACCCCTGTATACATTAAATGAAGCAATCAACATTTTCAGTAAAGTTTATTTCTCTGGCTTAAAAGTCAGCACAAGAATTAATTCTGAAAAGTAATGTACTGGAGGTTGACAATCTTTTCTATTATAGCTTGCATATTTAAATGTCTTTAAATATCTCAAAAACCAAAGCTTTTAAACACATTTTTTTCAAACGTCACGAAAGTATTAATTTTTGCGACGTGATTGACAATATAAAAAAGTAATTTTAACGCCTAGGCATAAAAGTAAGGCACTTTTACGCCTAAGCCTATGGCCTAAGCATAAAAGTAAGAAAATATATTATTAAACTCACATAGTGTCAAATTCAACGAGCGTAACCATAGTTTCCCGATATATAATTACTTACAAGGTGTGACTTTAAAATTTTTTTATATTATTTGGAACGTTTGAAATTGTTTAAAAAATTATTTGTGGCGTTTGAAAAAAAATAACATGTTTTAATCGGAGTAAAAATGAGTTTTTGTGCCTCGCTAACGCTAGTTCGTTAAACGTACAGCTCTTCAAAAAATGTCATTTTTACTCCTAATAAAATAATATACTATTAACTCTTATAATAAATGTCTTATTATATGTCCAAGGATCCAAAAATGAAATAAATAGAAATATAAGAAAAAATATAACTTTGGTATGGATCTTAGTTCTGTTCTGACACACCCTGTACATTTCAAAATAATTTTAAATTATGCACATTGCCTTCCCACATATACCCATAAAATATTCTGTTTCTACATCTTTCCGATTTTGTATAATCAACCTATGCGAATGAGATGTGCGCCACCCTGTATAATGAATCGACTGATTGGCATTTTTAGGGTGACAAGCATGAATACAGGGTGTGTCATGCATCAATGATCAGAAGCAACTTTCTTCTCACACTCTTCCAAGTCTTCAAATTTAAGTATTTTATTAGGTGCGTAGGTGGCGCCTCCTACAAGTAGGAGTCACATTGATACATCAAAATCGAATTTCTCATGTCAAAAATCACCCACACACCAATTTTCATCCAAATATCGACGTTAGTTCAAAAATTATTTTAAAAAACTCGAAATAAAAAAGAAACTTCTACACCCTGTATCTCCGAAACGAAGCACTTTAGGACATAAATTTATATAAACTGTTTTACTTATCTTTAACTGCAGAATATGCTGCTGAAGCAAAGAGTAGATAAGACAAGAGACGACAGTTCGCGCGGTACCTTTCATGTTTGAGTGGTGGGGAGAGTGACCTCGTCTCGCTTGTCCCTTTAAATTTTCGTAATTTTTTTGCGGGAAATTTAAAATAGACTATTATTAAAACTTGCCTGTATAGCTTATAAATAGTTACTGTATGGGTAAAGAAATAGGTAAATAGAAACGAAAAAAAAATGAGTTTTCTAAATATTATATAAAATAAATTATAATTAGAAACATATTTGTCGGGGAATAAAGATAATAAAAGCAATATTTTGTATATCGTTTGTAAACAAGATAAAGTGACCAAGTCGATTTGTAAGAAATGTTTTATTTACGTGTATTTTTTTACATATGGACTTGAAAAGTGTAAAATCACAATGTGGAGTTTATGTACAAAAAATAGAGTTACTCAATTTTTTGTAAAAATATATTACAAGCTTCTAACCATGTCTTCGATCTTAGTTTAATAACTTCTTTAAGTCTTCTTTCTTAGTTTAATAACATAATTATATAGTATATTTATATAAAATATTTTTCAGGATCCTTTGGAAAAGAGTGAAATATTATGTTTGTCGAAGAATAAGACCTATTTTTGCAGTCTTTATAAGTACACATATTGCCACCATCTCGTCTTTTCCTGCTACTCGTGTCCTGTTCAGTATTCATATTTAACAATATTTACAAATTAGTACGCAACAAAAACGATACTAAAATTAAACATTAAAAACTCTGAAAACACACTTTAAAAAGGCAAAAATGCAAGAAAACAACTAATCAGATTTATTTATGTTTAAGCCTGATTAGCACAGCTGATTAGCGTCCTAAAATCATAGGTTAGATTTTAGATTAGATAAAATACGCCGTTGTCAGATTTTGAGATTTTATCTGTTTATCTTTGAAATCGATCAACTTATTAGTCATTCTGTTTCTTTGATATTATCAGTACATTGCGAAAAAAAAGAACCTAAACCAACCTAAACTAAAATTTACATTTCCGTATTAATATACGTTACTTATATCCTTCTTATATTATTAATTTATTTTCAGAAAATCTTGTTTATTTTTCAAAGAAATATACTTGGCAACAGACAAAATGGGACTTGATGGGACCTTTAAATTTTAATATATCTGCGTCTCTCTCGCGAAATTCGACTTCTTTGTTCACTGTCGTCTCTTGTCTTATCTACTCTTTGGCTGAAGTTTCCCTAATACAATTCGGACCACCCTGTATATCGCAAAAACGCGCTAAAATGTTGTTTAGTACTTAACATTTTTACATGCATAATTAAATTTAATAGTGTAGTACCTGTTTTGTTTATTTTTTATAAATTTAATTATATATTCGGACGATGGAAATACGAAAATAAGAAAACAGGATGTCTCAAAAAAATACTGCTACTTAATAGGTCCAATAATTATGTGGTCTGTGGTCTAAATAAAAACCTGTATAACGTTGATTTTAAATAATCATTTTTGTCCCCAATACAAATGAAATACCTTCTAATATCTAACAGGTTATTGGAGAATTAAGATATAAAAATATTAAAAAAGTTTATTATGATTTATACAGAGTGGTTATATAGCTTATTAGTTTTGATGTATAAATCATTTTAATACTTTTATTATTACATTTATTACAAGCATCACGTGTTTTAGTTCCTAAAAACGGATGCTCTTAAACCCTATACTAATAATTATATAGATGTAATTATTAGAAATATTAAGATACAGTTATTTCTTAAAATTTCTACCTAGAAAATGAACTAAACCAGTTAAAGACAACCCCATTCAAAATTTAACAATGTATGTACTTATTCGTAAGAAAAAATATTATTCTACAGAACAATAGCGATTCTTATCAAAAATAAATATTTACTATTAACACATTTTTAGAACAAAAACAAAAATTAATGAAATTTAAAATATGTAAAGTCTGTCCCCAACGAGACACCCAAAAAAATCTTTTCCTTTGACTAGACAGATTTTTTTCAACATGTTTGATGTTTTCTAGAGAATCATCACGTTGGAGGACGAAATTTAGATGAAGAATTAGATGGGACCACTACAGAAGTACCTCAAATCGTCAATTATAATAATGCAACGAATTTGACGAATGAAATAGAGGATCAGGAAGGAAATGAGACCAATGTGTCAGATGTGACAGCTGAAACAACAACAAAATTTAATGTGTCTCTGTTATTACGGGAAGATCAGTCTAATGTAGAACAACCCATAGAAGGTAAATTATGTTTTGATTTGTTGTAGTTAAAAATACATAAAAATCAAAATTTATCTACCAAGGTGTGCGATGGCTAGTTTATTTCTTGAAAATGACAACATTTAAAAAAAAATTATACAGGGTGACCTATCGAAAACGTTCCGCAAGGCATAACGGCCAGGGTATTTTTTTTTCAAAAAATCCAAAAACACGTCAATTTTGTTTGTGAGGGGGACAACTTTTGCCCCAAAAATGATTGCAAAATCTTCAACCCTCTAAGCGGGGGTGTCATCCCCCAACATTTTTCAAATTGGAAGGGGGGTCAAGTGGCGCCGCAATGAAAAGAGCTTTCTATTCTCTATATTTTCCCGCTTCGTTTTTGAAAATCGGTCGAGTCATTGAGAAAATATGAAGGATTGAAATTTGAAAAGTTTATTTAAACATTTATCAGAGTAAATGATAAGGATAAATTCCTTCGACCAATTTGAGTTTTTTTCTTATTATTTCTAGATGTTTGCGCATTTTTTCACTTGCCACAAGGTTGAACGATCAGGTGCAGTAGTTGCTAGATAGCTGTTCTGTGACTTGTGCGTTGAAGTTCTTCTCAATATCGTTAAACTGACCTACAATAGAATTTCCAAAAATACCAGCCCACATGTTCAATTTCTGAGGGTTTTGTGTGTGCACCTCGTGAAAAACCCTGGGGTTATCCTCAGCCCAGTACCGACAGTTGTGCCGGTTACCTACACCGTTTAAAAAGAAAGTATACACCCATCCGAAAAACACACATTAAATAGGAAATTATTATCATTCGCCACTCGTTTCACTCACAGTTTCACAAAATTGCAAGCGACGATCAAAATCGTCTTCGTTGAGTTCTTGTACCAACTGAATTTTGTACGGGTGGAACTTGTGTGTTTTTTTTAATATCCTTTGGACACTTGTACGATTCACGCCGGTCTCATTGGCTAATTTTCTTGTACTCAGCTTACTATCCATGGCAACTTTGCCCAATACGAATACCTCCATAGCTTCATTTACTACAGGATTTTCTTCCCTCTGTCTCTTTTTATTCATAACGGAACCAGTTTCGCGAAATTTTGCTACTAACTCGCGAACAATTTTGCCATAAAGGTGTTTGTCAGGATGGCGTTCGTTGAATATCTGCGCAACCCAATTGCCACGTTCATTATTTTTAAAATAAAGTTCGATTATTTCCACTTTTTCTGCAAGTGAGTAATTTCACCATAATAATTGTTAAAAAGTTTAGCGATATTGAGAAGAACTTCAACGCACAAGTCACAGAACAGCTATCTAGCAACTACCGCACCTGATCGTTCAACCTTGTGACAAGTGAGTTATACAGAAAGGTCCATAGACTTCGAGACATAGGAAAATCAAGTCCATTTACCGTGTGTCCAAATTTTGACAAGTTTTCAAAAATAACAGTTTTATATTTATATTTACTTTAATATCCACCTTAAATGAAGGAATTTGACTCTGTTTTCTGAATTTGAATTGTTTTTAATGATACCAATAATTTTAGTTCAATTTTTAATAAAATTTATTTAATATTAATAGAAATCCAAGAGATTTGAAACCTCTTTTAGCGATTTATAACATTCTCAAATGAATTACAGGTGCCCTTATTTTCTATGAAAACCACACAGCTTTTTTCATAGTCGCTGCAGTTGCTATAGCTATTTTGACATTAGCGTCAACTAATTTTTTAAGGTGTGAAAATTGCGACACACGCTAAATGGACTTGATTTTCCTATGTCTCGAAGTCTGTGGACCTTTCTGTATATTGGCAAGTGAGATAATTTTGGGGAGGTCAAGCCCTAGATGTCATTTACTTGGCGCGTACTCTTCTCTATTTTTTAATGGACCAGTTGACCTATATAAAGGTTGTAATTTATTTTTATAATGAGTAAAAATGATTTTTAAATTTTGTAGTTTGATATTCCAGGAATTTTTTTTTAAATAGATTTGTGCGTAAGGAAACGTTCCTTTTTTAATCTTTCTATAATTAGTGTTAAATTTTGACAAGTTTTACGTGAAACTTTAGTAAATGACGTCTATAGAGACTGACCTCGCCAAAATTATCATCGATTGTCATTCCCCAGCCGTCCTTGACACCGTTTTTTTTTCGATCACACAGTATTATCATTTTATTTCAAGTTTTAGGACAACCTGCATTAAATACTCCAAAAGGAGTTGACACAGAAGTCTCTGGCCTATTAAACGTACCTAAGGAGGGTAAGATATGTTATCTAAAATATTTCCTTATAGATTTTTCTTAAAAATGTCGAATTTAACATCAAATTGTTAAAATCTGTTAGAGTACCTTAAACGAAACCTTAAATTAACAAAGTAAGGATACTTTGGGTATATAACGGCTATTATGTACCCTAATTATACCAAATTACATATTATTTATCTTTACATACCAAATTATACTACACACTACACATATACCCAATAGGTACCCAAATTCAACATACCCTGTATTTACCCATTGGGTATATACCGGGTGCAAGATCTTGGATATTTACCAAAGACATTAAAAAATTCTTTCTATATCTGTGGTATTTACCCAAATTTCAATATACAGGGTGTTTGCTCATCATTAATCGATAGACTTAATCGATATTAAGTTACGGGCAGCCGCTAGAATTTAGTTAAAAAACAAAGCGAATATAAATGCATTTATAGTATTCACTAGTAAAGTTTGTTTCAAAATTAGTTGACTAAACTTTTACTAGCGCGTAGCGTTAGTAAATCAGTGAATGTGCGCTTTTACTAGTAAATTGTTAACATTCACTGAATTCCTGCTTTTACCATTACATATACAGGGCGTTTCAAAACAAATGCGAAAAACTTCAGGGGGTGATTCCTTGTTCAAAATAAAGGGTAGTTTGCTTCATAAACGTTGGGTCAAAAGTCAACCATTAGGGAGATATCGCGGTACAAAGATGGCGGAAAAATAATGTTCTTATTTTTTATCTTGAAAACGAAAAGAGATAGACTAATGAAATTTTATGGAAGCATTACTGTTATGAAAAACACACACTTTCTGGTAATTTTTCACTTTTTTAAAATGAGTGGAAGGGGTTGAAATAAACTACCCCTATCATTCTTGTTAACGAAATTTAAAGAAAAATCTTATCAAACACATACAAAAAAATTAATTTGGATAGCTTAATTTGTTTAGAAACTTTTTTATCTCTTGTATTTTTTTGATAAAACTCACCGATTTGAAATTAAAAAATAAAATATAAAGCATTACATGTCAGGACAAAAAACATTTTCTGATAAAGAATCTAGTGGGCTGCTGTAATTTTTATAGGAAAAAATCTAGTCGGCCGCTGTTACTTTTTAGGATGTTCCTAATATTATTTTATTTGACATTACTCTACTGCAATACGTTATTATCTAGATGATTATTATTATCGTTATTATCACTAGATTCTTAATCTAAAAATGTTTTTGTCCTGACATGTAATGCTTTACATTTTATTTTTAATTTCAAATCGGTGAGTTTTGTCAAAAAAACACAAGAGATAAAAAAGTTTCTAAACAAACTAAACTATCCAAATTAAAGCATTTGCATGTGTTTGATAAGGTTTTTCTTTAAATTTCGTTAACAAGAATGATAGAGGTAGTTTATTTCAACCCCTTCCACTCATTTTAAAAAAGTAAAAAAAATTACCTGAAAGTGTGTTTTCATAACAGTAATGCTTCCATAAAATTTCATTAGTCTATCTCTTTTTGTTTTCAAGATAAAAAAAAAAACATTATTTTTCCGCCATCTTTGTACCGCGATATCTCCCTAATGGTTGACTTTTGACCCAACGTTTATTAAGCAAACTACCCTTTATTTTGAACAAGGAATCACCCCCTGAAGTTTTTCGCATTTGTTTTGAAACACCCTGTATAACATCAGGAACTTTAAATATAATTAAAACTATAAGCAAAATCGTGGATATCGTCGTCACTATGAAAACAATACGATTATGCCACCTAACTTTTTAGGCGTTACCATGAATTTGGTAATAATTGGTAGGTATACGTGGCGAAATAAAAGTATAAAAAATTTACCTACCTTTTAAAAATGGGCAATGTTTAAAGTTTTAAAAATATTTTATTATAGACCAGCAGATTAAGTCATATTTTGTTGTACTACTTTTTTTTATCGCAATGGTACACCTAATATGAGCTCTACTGAATACAGGAATACCGTCATTTATTTTATCATTCAATAAATAAAACATAAGAAATAAGAACAGAATAATTTCCAATTTTAAACATGATATAAATTAAAGATTTGTGTCTAATTTATTATATCACTGCCTTAGAATAATAATATAAATTATTTAGTAGGTATGTATCATTTTTATTTTCTTGCCTTGTATTATAAATGATGCATTAAAATAAAACTAAACAAATAGAATTAAAAAAAAACTATTCAGTATAAGAGATATGATACTGATTGAGAAAACGCGAAAACACATTTTTAATGAAAAAATGTCAACGATGTTTCACAAAGAACCAACTACAGATTCAGTACTATACAGGGTGGTCCGAACTGTATTCCGGAAACTTCGGCAGCATATTCTGCAAATAAAAATAAGTAAAAAGGTTCATATAAATGTATGTCCTGAAATTCTTAGTTTTGGAGATACAGGGTGTAGAAGTTTCATTTTTATTTCGATTTTTCCCAAATAATTTATGAAGTAACGTCAATATTTGGATGAAAGTTGGTGTCTGGGAGTTTTTTGACATGAGAAATTCGATTTTAATGTCAATATGACTCCTACTTGTTCAGGACGCCACCTACATATTTTTTAACTGTTATTCCTCTTCAAACCAGTTAAAAAATATGTAGGTGGCGACTAAGCATTTTAGGACATACATTCATACGAGCTTTTTTACTTATTTTTATCTGCAGAATATGCTGCAAAAGTTTCCGGAATACAGTTCGGACCACCCTGTATATTTTTTTAAAGATCTATACCAATTTTAAGATATTCTACATCAACAACCTGTTGAGAACCATGATCCAGCTCAAATCCCTGACCAAGTTGATGACGAAACAGAATTGATTGAAGACGGGCAAAATACGGAAGACGAAATAAGAAGACACGAAGAATTAAAGTCAGGTAATAATACTTTTTTCGAAGAAAGAACATATTTTTCTAAAAACAAATCAATTTCAGAAGCATATGATGATGAATCTCAGCCAAGATATTTAGCTGCAGTTGTGGCTTGCACCTTGGTGGTGGTTGCTGTGTTGTGTTACGCAGCATTGTGGGGTTGGAGGAGATACTTGGAGTAAGTATTTGGCTAACTGATAAAAAGAAATACGTAGAGTAATCTCTACCACAGATTAGGTATCCTATAAGTATACAGATAAAAATCTTGTCCCTAATTCGTGGTACGAAAATTGTTTTTTTATGACGATGTGCAAACGAGTTAAATTTTCTGTGCGCAAAAATAAACTCGCGTAAAATAACAATAAACAGCGTAATAGAGAGATATCGCTAAACCGAATAGCGTGCATGGACGTTAATAAGGCCAGGTGTTATTTCCTTTACGTGAGGTGGTATTAACTCTCTTCATTTATAGTTATCGGATCGGAAAGAATTCTGATCGCGTCGCGTCCGCTATTTAAACTTAACCTAACTTTGAATTTAAAACTTTGAAATTGTTTTGTTTACTAGGTATTTTAAAACTAAAGGGCTAAAGTGCTTATTTCCAGTGCTTTATTGTTCAACGTCTGCCAGTAGGTTTAGGGCAACAAGCAACAAATTCTCCTAGAAGGGCTAAGTCGTCATCTGCTGTAAACCTAAGACTCTTTATAGGTTCTTTAGTATTGGAAGAGGTGGAATCCATATGTTGGGCCATATTTATTTAATTAAAACTAATCCCAGTTACTTAAATATCAAATTACCTAATAAAACTAAAGCAATAATTCAAAACAATTCAAACATAACGCCGGTCAGGCGCTGTGCACAGTTTTAGAGGCTAGGAGTGGGCGTGCTATGTGCGCAAACTAGTCACCTAACTATTGCCCGATTCCGAAAATTGGAACCACGAAAAACAATAAAGAAAAAACAAAGATTATAATCTGTATAATCTGTGTCTATACTAATATATAAAATCCTTAAGTGACTAACTCACTGATTAATCACGATCCTGCTCAAACCATAGACAAACTAACAAAAGCAAGACGCGTCAACGCTGTACTGCAAAACGGTAACAAGTTTGATAAGAGTTTATTACCGCGCTTGCGTCAACTGGCCTTTTAGACGAGGACGAGGACGGTTTACTTATGGATTGTGTATTTTGTAGTAGCCTTTTAGACAAGGATGTTTAATTAAAAAGCGTTTATTAAAATCAAATAAATTTATTTCCATCGGTAAAATAAACAATAATTTCTGGACATAACAGATATAAAAACAAAAGTTAAATAAACGAAAACGTATTCCTCTTATTAAAATAACAAAAAAGATGATAAAAAACAACAGTTATGGTAAACGAAATAAAAGCATTATTCTTCAAAAGGTACAAAAAAATAATTATGTATATTATAATATTAATAATAGGAACAATAAGAAACATCTTAAAAATATACAACTTTTTCAAATATAAAACAAAAACATAAACTTCACATTTTCACAAGAATTTGCAAAAATATTAACATTTCGAGTCTATTATAAAATATAAAGCACGAAAATTCAAATCATAAAAAGATTAAAAAGATAAAGATTCTTATAACTTACAGTCAATTTGTAGGACCTTCGTTTTGTCTACGTTAGCGATGTAATCACAATAATATGTATAATCACAGTAATTATTATGTTCTTCATAAATTTAAAATGTATTAAATTATTGGTTTTCGTTTTGTACGCTAATAAAATAATAGTAATAACCAAACAAAACGCAAAATCAGGAATTCAACAGTTCAACAAGGATGGTTCAAGGCAAAAACGTTTTTCGTTTTATTTAGGTTAGGTTTGACGAGTGCGACTGCGCGATGATTTCTGACTCAACTGGCCAGCGCAAAAACAATAATTCGACTTCCTCAATCCTTTGAAAAGTCTTGCTTTTGTTAGTTTGTCTATGGCTCAAACCACTCAACGTAAGAAGCTCAATTTTGGCATACAGATTGATTCTAGGGTGTAGAGGGTCGATAAGAAGGGATTTTTCGAAATTCCAGTTCCAAGGGGGCGAAACCACCCCTCAAATATTACAATATTTTTTATTTAAAAAACGGTCAAGTTTCCGAAAAAACGCTTAAACACGTATATTTTATTTTGTTTTTTACATATTTTAAGATTTTTGAAAAATATATACAGGGTGTTTCGAAAAATCTGGTCATTGATTAATCACGATCCTGCTTAAAGCGCTTGACGTAAAAAGCTGATTTTTGGAAAACGGATTGACTTTAGGGTGTAGAGGTTCGATAAGAAGGGATTTTTCGAAACTCGAATTCTAAGGGGGTGAAACCACCCCTCAAATATTAGAATATTTTTTAATTAAAAACCGGTGAGTTTTTCCGAAAAACTCTTAAACACGTATATTTTATTTTGTTGTTTTACATGTTTACGATTTTTTGAAAATTTATACAGGGTGTTTCTTAAAATATGGCCATTGAGTAATCACGATTCTGCTTAAACTGCTTGACGTTTAAAGCTAAAAGTTTATTTTTGGCAAACGGATTTTTCTATGGATGTGAAATATGGTGAAAATGATTTTTATCTTTCATTCATATAAAGTTTTTTTAAATAGATCCCAAAATCATCCTTTTTATGTTGTTTGGTATATAGAGAAGCTTAAAAATTAATTCAAAATTAAAAAGGTTTATTTTTTTAAAAGACATATAGCTACAAACATTACTGAAACATTTTGCTTACAAAATGTACCGTATGATCAAAAGAAAAACGGCGTCAAGTTGGCCTCAAAATGACGCTCCTTTACACTAACCATATAATTTTAAATATAAATAGATGGCGATCTTCATTTTCAAGTAAATTCTGAAACGATTATTTTTTTGAGTGGCATCATGGTATATGCCATAAAACAAAATATATGTTTTTTTTAATTATACCTACTTAACCTCTATTTTTTTTCAGGAAACGATATGGAAGTAGAACAATGCTAGTGAACGCTGAAGAATTTGATGACCCTTACGACGTTCATCATTTTTCGGTAAATTATATTTCAAAATATAATACCGTATGATCGGCTGGGGAATGACAATCGATGATAATCTTGGCAAGGCCAAGCCCTATAGACGTCATTTAATTTACCCGTACTCTAGATTATTTTTTTAATGGCGCTTATACTGCCAGGCTATGGCCTTAAGAAGGTTGTAACAGTTTTTGACAAGTTTAATTTTTAGTAGATGGCGTCTAGAGATTGACCTCGGCAAAATTATTATCGATTGTGATACTTTATAAGTTTCTAACAATTTTTCTTTTTTTACAGATATAAAAACAATCTGCTATTGATAGGTAAAATGATTGCAGGCCAAAGAATGTCAAAAAATATGTTTTCAACATTCCTATAAAGTTTTTATTGTTGTTAGATACCGGGTGTATTTCAAAAGTGGCTCACCTATATGGCATTTTTATTTTTTCATAAAAAAAACCGAGATGTGGTATATTAGTATATGATATGAATATGTTAGTATATAATATCTTTTAACCGACCAGGAAAAATTAGTGGTTTTAACAATCATGGCACTCTAGATTGAAATTTAGAAATACTATTTTTAAGCGGGAATGTAAAAAGTTGACATGCGACATGTCATTCTATTCAGAGTGTCATTTTCTATCAAATAAAGTAACAAAATACCGAGGGTGCCATTTAAAAATCAAGTTTTAGTCATTTCCGGTGAAACAGGAAGTGACAGAAAACAATTGAATATCTCAATCAATCCTAATTTATGTCATAAACTAACGTACCAAATCTCGTTTTTTTATCTGAAAAAATAAAAAAGTTATAGGGTGTCAGTCACTTTTGAAAACCCCGGTATAGTACGTTGTAATTTTAAATGTTTGCCATAATACAATAAGTTGTACATAGTGTATATTTCTTCATATTTAAATAAACAACTGTGATAGTTCGTAATGTGTGTAGGTTCTAGTGTAGAAAAAATAAAACACTATAAATAGAATATGCTTTTTATTATCACTAGTACAGCAAAAAAACTAAGCTTAACATCACAGTGAGGTAATCAATTAAAAAACTACATAAATTACTATCTAGCGAGACAACATAAAAATACAGGGTGTCCCAATATTCCGTAGACATCGAACTACTACGTATTTTTTCTTTGGCACCCCAAATCGGAATATGGATTCTTAAAATATCTTAAAAAATGTGTTTATTCTTATAAAGTTTGATGCCCACTAACGGACAAACGAAGCACTTTTGCATAGAGCTAAATTGTGTCCAATGAACTTATTTTGATTTAAAAAATACGTAGTTTTTCTATTCCCACGGAAGATTGGAATTCCCTGTATACAATATTCGTTAAGAGATTTCTTTAGAATTATTTTATTATAGCTGTAAAAATAGTTTTACTATTTTACTAGTTCGTTTTGTTCGCGTTTGAATACATTTAAGACACCCTGTAGATAATATCGTGCAATATAAAATATTAGTTTAGAAATTATTTTGATTATTTTTATGTCAGTTTTTAACAAGACTTTCACAAACACACATATATAAATGCATCAAAAACTAAGTATACAACAAAGTGTGTGCTTTAAAACAATAAATGAATAGTACTTTCTCAAAAAAAATACTATTTACGTAGATCCAGAACTTCTAAATGGGCACCATTATCAATACGCACATGATCCGCTTTCTAAAGAAATATCAAACTTAAGTAACCAATTATGGAGTATTATTTAGTTTTTGTGATAAGCTGCGTCCACATTGCTCGTGCTCTTGCTTCTAATTGTGCTTGCGTTGCTTGCGCTTCCTGTTTGTCGTGTTTCTCAAGATCTTTCGGCTCGCAAGCAACGGCGTCCACATTGTAATGTAGTGTTTGCGTTCGTGCTGTTCGGACATGGATGATAGCGGAGTATTTTTAAAAGCGGTTGCTAGTGCGATCATTATTGCAAAACGAAGGAGACAAAGAGAAAAAAAGGCGATGTTGGATGTCTAATAATTTGAAAAGTAGATCCCACCACAGTGAAAGTAAACTTTTACACGATTTACAAACAGACAGAATGTTTTTTTAATATTTTTTATGGCATGTCCGCTACTGATTTTGAAAGACTTATTAACTTAGTTGGCCCCCGTATAGAAAGAAAAAATACAACTTTTAGGAAGTGTATTCCGGTTAAAGAAAGAGGTAAAGAAAGACTGGCCATAACATTAAAATTCCTTGCAACTGGAGACTAAATAAAGTTCTCAAAGATCAGATTAAGATAAATAAGCAATATAAATATAGAGTTATATTTTATTAAAGGTATATTTAATATTATTAATCCAAGAACAAAACACAACTACACACACCGGAAAAGTCTAGGGATATTACAATTTTATCCAGCCATCGTCAGTAATTTTATTATTTGCATTTCTGATATAATAAAATTAAAATAAACAAATAGTTTACAGGACGTATTGGAAATAAAAATGCGAAATTTACCGAATTTTTCAAATCTACCTTGAATTTTATTGAACTCAAAAAAATACACACTTTTTTTTTATTCTAAACTGTGAATTAAAAAAAAAGATAAAACCATTTTTACTTAATAAAGAGTATGGCCTCCTCTACTGTTCATTACAGCCCTACATCGTCTCTCCATGCTCCTGATCAGGTTGTCGATCTCTTCTTGAGGTACAGCCTGCCACGCTGCATTCACGGCCCGAACCAGATCCCTACGCGTTTCGCGAGGCATACCCATTCTCAAAATTCTTCTTTGGACCGCGTCCCATACGTGCTCGATGGGGTTGAGGTCAGGAGATTGTGCCGGCCAGGGTAAGATGTTTAATTGATGAGCATTGATAAACTCACTTACCACTCTGGCTGTATGAGGCCGTGCATTGTCATGCATGAGAATGAAGTTTCTCCAAAAATCATTGGCATATGGTAACACGACAGGCTCAAGAATTAAATCACGATATGTGATTCCTGTTAGAAATATTTCAAGAAAAACGAGATCGGTTTTTCGGCCTAACTGGACTCCTCCCCAGACCATAACTGTTCCACCTTGATAAGGGAGCACTTCCTGAACACGATCCAATTAAATAAGATTTCCCGGTTCTCTCCATACCCTAAGCCTTCTCGAATCCGGATGAATTCCGAAGCGTGACTCATCCGTGAAGAGAACATTGGCACATTGTTCATTCGACCACTGAACATGATCTTGAGCCCACAAATATCGTACCTCTCGATTTCCTCTCGTTAAGGATTGAGCTCTCCAGGGGCGTCTGCTTCTTAAGTTGACCTCTCTTAATCTATTGTGAACAGTGTCAGGACTAACGGTTACATTATGTGTTTCCTGAAGAATTAAACTAAGCTCTGGTGCTGTAAGAGTCGGTCGGCATCGAGCATTTAATTGTAAAAAATGATCTTGCTGAGGGGTAGTAATGCGATGTCGCCCTGTGTGCCTTTCAGCAACATCGCCACTTTCACGGTAGCGTGCACTTAATCGCGATATTACACTTTGCGTTGTATTTAATGCTCTAGCTACGTCGATTTGGCGCATTCCAGCTTCGAGCATACCCATGGCCCTAAGCATTTCGTCTCTGTTAAGATGTCTACGCTCCATAATGTCGTTTAATACTAAACAGAGTTATCGAATGAATTCTGGCCAGTTATCATAAAAACATAGCCAGTACAGGTTACATTCGAACAATTGATGCTAGGTGATTTTTATACATTTGACAAAAAATGCACAAACACTTCTGCAAATATCCCAAATTTAGAAATAACTAGTGTGACTACTTCGTTTCAATCGAAGTAGAAAGAATCGGCCTACAAATATGTGGTTGTTTATTCAAAACATTTATTTTTAACTTTAATAAAATGATATCCCTATATTTTTCCGGTGTGTGTATTTTTAATTCTGAACAAAAAAAAATATAAGAAAAATCATGGTAGCATCATCATACTGCAGTAAATACCGAATCCTATGAATGAAACCAAACTAAAAAAGACAGAGCCGAATAGTCGAAACAGGGGTGCAACTTTGTTCATGTTTCAAAGCGATAGCAAAGTAATTTGTAGCTTGATGCACTATGTTCAGTAGCAACATCGATTTGTAGCGATATTCTGATTTCTAGCTTTGTGGCGAGGCGACAGTCTAGACACGTGTGCAAGAGTGTGATAGTGATACCATATTTCGCAGCATTTGAGCGACACTAGTTTTGCAATGAACATAGTATCGATCTGGTTTCGACATCGCTTCTAAACGATCGGTTGCTAACTTGAACAAAGTCGCACCCCAGGCATTTTATGCGATCACAAGCGTCGCGAGCGCCGCGAACATCTCGCTCCAACTGTTTGCCATGTTTTTCGTGTTTCACGTGATCGTTCGGCCAGGTCGCGAGCAATGTGGACGCACCTTAACAATATAACAAAAAAAAACAGAATATTTACCTTAAACAAAGGTGGATCTGACGGATGTGGATGGAACCCCGCGTTTCTACAGTTTGCTATGTACTGTAGTCCATAGTTTGGTGTCAGAATAAAAAATCCAGTCCTAAAAAATTAATATTAAATATAATAATAAAGGTTTTACTCAAAGCACCCCGTAATCGAGAAAAAAAAACAGTGCCACTGTCGCCTTTGAAATACCAGTATGCAGTATATCATAATAAAAGTTAAAAAGAATAAAAAAAGAGAGACGTGTAACTGGTTTCAACTATACTAAAGTTGAAAAACTAAAAATTATGCGTTTCCGCAGGAAAATTTTTTCTAATTATTCACCCAAAAATAACATATTTCTTTAAAAGCACTAAATTGTATTTTTCTCGGCTCCAATTAAAATGGACAAAGCCGGTTTTTCCCGTGTAGTCTTCAAATGATGCGGTTTAGGAATTTATGGATTTATACGAAAATGAGCCCTTCATATGGATGGCCAAACATAAAGAACATAGAAGTCGTATTGAAGTGTACAGTAAAAGAACTTAAAAAGAGAAAAGGGGGGTTTGGGACGGAAATTAACTTACTCTTTGTATTTTGGTGAACACACAATGGCAATAGCTTCGGGCATCAATAATTGGTAAGGACAATGCGTGTGAAGATCCACACTCGATAAAAACGCAGTTTGTGTAGGATGAGTCTGTAAAATAAACAATAAACAGCAAAAATAATTACTGGATCGGTAATAAATAAAAAAATATTACATGGATCCATCCGATTGTTATTAAGTTATGTTGATCCTGGTAATCAAAAAGCTCTTCTTCGTTTTTTGTTGTACAAGAATCTGAGGTACCAGTCTGCTTAGGAATTATCATATGGGTAATAATTAATTGATTCTTTTCCTTAAAAAAATTGTTTGGTTTGGTTGATATTCTGCAAAATTATCAAAAAATAGCGTCGCAGTGACCTCCTAAACTGACAATGATATTTTTCTGATCTGATTAACTAAACTAAATAGAATGACTTTTTAGGATCATTTAAACTTATCATTCAGCCGTTGTCTCTTAAAGTCAGGAACATTTAAAGAAAACATGAAAAACAAGACAAGTAATCGTGAATGTTTTATAAGCTATAAAAATGTAAAAAATATTGATTAGATTTGTTTATTTCTTATTGATCTGTTTTAATATTGGACCTGCAAATCGTCACTTGAGCTGTCTAACGAGTTTAACAGTTTATTAATAAAGTACTTTTCAATATTAAACTCCATTGAAAAGAAGAAGCAAACGTAAAAGCAGAGAATAGGTACATTAAAAATGCATAAAAAATATATTTTATAATAGAGGTATTGAAATTTAGAAAACGTCAACATTTGACGTATCCAGTATTTTACCAAACCGTTCCGTATCAAACCGATGTTTTTCAAGAACCGCTCTTTACCGTAGTTTACCGGTCTGGTTCGCCTGATTTTGCAACAGGATACAACCTCTGAGAGAAATTATCATCATTGCTTGTCATTTCAGAGACCACCAAGACGCCGTTTTTTTTTCGAACAAACGGTACAGAAACAAAAATCTTACTAGTTTTCCTGCAAGTATACCGCAAGTTTCTATATTTTTGTTTGTGTTACTTTGGGCCATATTTTCGAAAGAAGACATAACTCTACCAGGCACTACAACTGTTTTTAGAGCTCCGCTATCGTATTTATCGCTGGCAATAATATGATCTGACGGTTTTTTACTTCGATCAAAAGCTGGCGTTGTTGGAAAACAAAAGTCACTAGTAATAAACAAAAAATTCAGTTAAAAAAATCATTGTCATAGAACAAAAAGACTAAGGGAGGAATCAAATACTCAAAATCAAAAAAGTTTTCTAATAGAGAAACGAGACAACGTTTTCGAGAAAGAAAGACGTCTGGCTCTTTGATATATCTTATACTATGCTGTCTGGAACAGCATGCGGCCCGTCTGGCTGCCGATACCCGTTGCGTTCACTACTGCGCATCGGAAGAAGATCCTATATTTTTTATTAATTTAGTCCTATAAATTCTAGTATTGAATATAAATCGAACGTGCCTCCATAGCGCAGTGCGTAGAGTTTCCGACCACGAACCGATGATTCAGAGTTCGAATCCGGGTCAGGTCAAACACTTTTTTATTTTATTTTCGTTTATATTCTGATAGTAAAGTATTAAATAATTCTGGTAATTAAATAAAAACAAATATTTAATACTTTACTATCAGAATATAAACGAAAATAAAATAAAAAAAGTCTTTGCCCCGACCCGGATTCGAACTCTGAATCATCGGTTCGTGGTCGGAAACTCTACGCACTGCGCTATGGAGACATGTTCGATTTATATTTAATACTAGAATTTAAAGGACTAATAAAAATATAGGATCTTCTTTCAATGCGCAGTAGGGAACGCAACGTTTACCGGCAGCCAGACGGGCCGCATGCTGTTCTAGAGAGCATTGTAAAAGATATATCAAAGAGCCAGACGTCTTAAAATACTTGTTTTTCCGACGTTGCTAGCTCTCGTACTATAATCTTTATAAAAATCGAAAAATTAAGAAGAAAAACAATAAAAAATAATTAAATCAAGCGACTATTTTACCGATAACGACTGCACTGTTCTCCAAGCTCGGTCTACTTGGTTCAGAGCAGCAAACTCACAGAAAATTTAAGTCTCCGTTTGATTTAAATCATTTTAATGACTTAAGTCATTTAGTTTTAAGTCATTTTTCGAAAAGACTTAAAATTTTTAAGAAGACGATTTCGATTTAAATATTGTTTTGAATTAAAATAAAAAAAATCTGATTTTATTGATTCATGATTTTTTCCAACCCTGGTTTGTAATTGTTCTGAAAATTAACCGATTTATTTTATGTGGTTTTATTCTCATCTGTATCTCCAATAAATTAATAATAATATGATACTAATCGAACGTAATGAGCGATCTATAAAATATATTGCCGTTTATTTAAATGTGTTTTGTAGTAAACTGACTATACTCAATATTTTCTGCATACTGATAAATTCTTTCATAGACACAAGTCCAGTAGACGTACTTTATATTTAATGAAGTTCCTTCCTTAGTGTTTTTATTCTTTGAAAAACTTATAAATATTTACGATTCATATGGAGGTGGAAGTTCAGGCGCTGAAGGTTTAGGCGTTGGAACATTTGGATCGGGATAATTGACACTGTCAATGGACCCTGGAATATTGGCTGTCAGAAAGTCAGACGGTAAGACAGCCGGTTTTTTCGATTTCTGCTGATCTTTTTTAGCTAAATTCTCACGTCTTCTCCGCTCATTCTCGTCGTCTTGCAGCTTTAGCTAACAATAAAGTTAACAATAACCAACGTATCACTATTATACAGTGCATTCATTTTATTTATCCAACTTTTAACTGACTATATTTTTTTTTGTTACTATGAGATAGAGCGTTCACTAGCAAAATAAATTGTGGCGTTTTTAGTCAACTTTTATGGCTACTTATTTTTTAAGTTGGACATCCTATATATTAGAAATGTACTAGAGAGAATTTTTTTTAGTTTTATCAAAATTCAACAAAATATGTATACAGTTTGTCCAATGACAAGATCCCTGACAATGGCAGTTGTGTTTGTCATTTTAATTCACTGGTAAATTGTCTTTAATGTCATTTTTTGAATGTCGTCTGTTGAAATATTCCCGGATTTATTGGACATTCACTATCTCCAAAAGTAAAAAAGGTTACTGTCAGATAAAAGTGGGACAAAATAAACTACAAACTCTGTACAGGGTGGGTCAAATTCGACGCTTTTAAATGGAAACACCCTTTTCTATAGGAGATAAACGAAAACTAATATCGGTGTCTGCAATTATTAAGTCTGTGATTATTAATTTTAAAAAAATTATACTTAAACCATTAAATTCTACGTAAAAAGGTGCTTTGGAAATGTTTTCATAAAAATACAAAATTTTCCATAGCAAAAAAGTTACAGCGATTTGTTAAAAATGCATATTTTTCAAAAACACCCCGTAACTCCGAAACGGTGACAGATATAGATATGCGGTTTTCACTATCATGTTTTTGACAAAAATTGAGCGCCAGACACCGATCTTAGTTTTTGTCTATCTCCTATAGAAAAGGGTGTTCCCATTTAAAAGTGTCAAATTTGACCGACCCTGTACAAATACAAATTTCATTAGCATAAATAATACTTACCAAATGCGCACAGTATTTCTCATAATCTTGCCTATAAACTTCTAACAACTTTTCCTTCAATTTTTCCGCTCTAGGCAACACTTCCCTTAACTTAGCCTGGATAGCAGACCTCATATTCGCGGGCACAGTGTTAAAATCGGGATGTTTCCTGATTTTCTCCAGAAACAAAGTCATAAACTTTAAATACAAACAATAGGCGTTCTCGAAATTTTCCTCTTTGTAGTAAACATTGGCCATCCGAACCATTTCTAAACCTGACCGGTAATACCTGAAAAAATTACACTGAAGAATGGTTATTATATGTAATATAGCGTATTTACCTTATTGGGGGAATATGAGGCTCAACCTGAATCAAATTACTGAAATCAATCAACCGTTTTAAACGTTCTTGGGGCTCGATGCTGTCCAAAATGCTAGAAATCGCACTTTCGGCCATGCTGACGCACAAATCTATAACTCTATTTTGATTTATAGCTTACGAGTCTTTAGGCCGATAATCATTATATGGCTTTATAACATAATTACAGCCGTATGACTCAGAAAAAAGTTTTATTAAAGGTAATTATTCAGATTGTTTTGATTCGACCAGAATCTTAGGTTAGGTAAGCTGTCAAACTGACGTTTAAAAAATAATACTCGTACGTTCACCCCGGTTTTAAAACTGGCGTGCTATAGAAAAGGACAGAGAGATATGAGGTATGACAATACTTAATTCCTGAGAATATATTTACATACCCCTTATCATGGACTTTTAATTTTGTAAAAATATATTAAAATAGTTCATAAAAGTTACTATCAATATTACATTTGTGCTTTTATCTATTAAGCAGCGTACAGTATTTTTTCAACTAAAATTGGTCTTTCATTATGTAACGAAATAATCGCAAATAATTACAGAGTGTCTCAATATTATTTAATTAAAATTATTTACGGTACATTTTGAGGGTGTGTATAATATATTTTATTAATTCTACCGTGTGTTCTATAAAATAACATAAAAATATGTTGTGTGAACAATATAATGGTTTTAAAAAATCTAAAACAAGATGTTGAATAAATTAGTAATTAACACACCGTATATAAAACGCAAAATAAATAGTATTTAGTATGCAATTCATCATCCGAACATTAAAATTTACATTTTGTCGAGTAACGTAAGTGTATTTGACGACAAACACCTCAGAAATGTTGTTTCGGTAATACAGACGAAAAAAAATGTGTTAACAGGAAAGCAGATTGTTTTTTATCGCAAAATGATAAGATAGGTAGATATTGTTTAATGATTTTCAAGAAAACAATTAGCAAATTATCGTTTTGATATCTACTTACTTCTTTTAAGATTATTATTTAGTAATAATGATTTTTAAAAATTAAATTTTCATTATCATCGCTAGTCAATGTATAAATATTATAGTGACTAGTATTTAATTTTTAACTGCTGGATACTCACTTCATTTACTTATTAATAAAAAAAAATGAAGGTCCTATATGTATTATTTGCATTGGTAAGTACCTACATAGTTTTTTTATACACTTTTATTAGTTATTTACACATAATATATTATATATTTGATTATAATTAGTTATTTCCTAAGATAGTTAAAAAAATTGAAAAATATTCAGATTGCGCAATTTTGTTTTGTGTTACTGAACCGATAAGTATTTTCGAAAGATATTTTTACCAGAAAAATAAAAACTAGTCATAAATTTAAAATAAAATATATAATATTTTTGTGAAATTCAAAAATATATATAGTTAAACAAAATAATAAAAACTATTTCTGTGTCATTGTTTATATATACATTAGAATTTTAATGTAATTCGTATGTCATATAATTTATTGGTGTTTCAATTTTAGGATATTTTGAATATTTCTATACCCATTCCTATTTTTGGGGTATTCATAAGATCTCTTGGTGGTACACCGTCTACATTGGGTATAATAAATTCATGTTGTGCCCTAGTCGGATTACTTCTGAATCCAATCGTTGTAAGTATAAAATATAGTTTATAATAGATTATAATTTTTGTATAAAAGTTTTAACAAAAATCGAAATATTATGGCATGCAACCAGTAATACACCTGAAGCCTATTTTGTGTTTGAATTTGGTTTGAGTCAAATATACAGGGTGTTGACGAATAAAATGTATATATACGGTGACCCATTATTCTGAAAAAAAAAACCCTTTATTAGATTTCCAATTTGTAATTTTCAAACCAAACATTTTTTTACACTTTAAAACAAAATAGACCATTTAATTTCTGAATTAGATGATGTATTTTCTTCATTACTAATTTTTCTTATATTCCCAGTCTAAAAATACCGTTCAGTCATAATCTATAACAAGTAATTATTGAAATGTGTTGATTTTAGAGATAATTTAATAATAATAATAGAAAACTACAAAGACTGATGTGATATAAAACCCACACCTTTACACATTTTTTATTAATTAATTAGGAGTAACTTCAATTAACAAACTGCATCTTTAGTGTAAACTAAATTTTAATCACTCTGTATATCTAATAAAATCTTTTTCAAATATGTGTTACTAGTTACTATTCCCCGAATGATTTATAAAAAAAATAAGTATCTAATAGAAAATCTAACATATGGAGCGTTTTCAGAATATTTTTTGTTACCCTGTGTATTTTAATATAAAATTAAGCCTGATGTATACAGGGTGAGTCTTAAATAAGTGCAAATATTTTAAGGGTAGTATATTTCAACCTCAGAAACACGTCTACGAGATTTTTTTTCGCAAAAAATTGAAAATTTTGATTTTTATTTAATTTTTAGTTAAAAAACATAATATCTTCATAATATATGGCAACATAGGCAGTAGATTAAATTTACAAAATTATTCTCAATTGCCTTGTTCTCAAAATTAATCAAAAAATTGTTAATAAAGTTATTTTAAACTTATGTATTTGAAAAACGGCAAAGAGAAAATATTAATTAATATAAATTCCCTGAAAATATTTGCACATATTTATTAAGACTCATCCTGTACAAGGAGGTAATATAGATAAGGATAAGGAGGTAAAATTAATTCTGATTTCAAACATAAACATTTTCATAAAAAAATATGAGTGTTTTAGCATCTTCATATATTTTTTTTGTTTAAAAATTCTTAATTTACAATAGGGTAATTAAATCAACACATATAAAATAATAATTGTTTTATTCTTCCTCTATTACAAATATTTATATAAGTATTCCTTGTCTATATTTGTCTGGTTGAATGCCCAATAAATTCAAGTTCTGTCTGAACGTATATAATAATTCAAATATATTAATCCATAATAATACTAGCTTAAGCGTTTTAACAACATTATAACATTTTTATTAGATAATTAAAATATACAGGGTGTTTCCTATGTATATAGTATCTTAAGTATAGTATAGGTTGTTTCTTAAGTAGTATAGTAGTTAGTAGTAATACCTAACACTAAATTGTTTAGACTTAGGAAAGTACTTAGGAAACACACCATAGGCTTATAAAATATATTATTTTCAGTCTATGGGAAACACCCTGTATAGAGACTAATTAATATTTTTTAAGGGCAGTTTAAGTGACCAGATAGGCAGACGTGGACTCTTCATCAAGTGTTTGACAGCAAATCTCGTGGGGAATGTATTATTAACGTTTTTCTCCAATTCTTTGCCTCTGGTTTTTGTTAGTAGACTAATTGCAGGTAAAAAATACTAATTATAGGTACTATAATCCTTTAATGTTGGGACTCTTTAATTCTTTCTCTTTAATGTTGGGACTCTTATTAATTTAAGCTTTCGGAAGTCCTTGCAATATCCTCCTAAGGACAATTGTCACCGACATCTACAAGACTACCGAAGAAAAAAAAGCGTTTTTTGATAAAGCGGCGCCAGTCCTATCCATATCCTTTTTGGGTGGGACTCTCCTTAGCGGATTTTTAAGCGAACTCAACAATGGTTTTCTCAAAGTATTCATGCTACTTGTTGTCGCCAACTCCCTCTCTGTTTGTAAGTATTACAGCATCGTCACAGTATATTGATCTAAAGAGTGAAATCAGAACACTGGGCCACCCTGTATAATGATAGAATGGTGGTTGATATACAGAGTATTTTAAAAAGCATGTTCCATCTCTCATGGGGAGATTCCTCGCGTAAAAATAAGATTAATTGTTGTTGTACATCAACATATAGGTCCGATTTTCTTGGTTTTGTAGCTGTAGGGTTGATACAAAAAATAAATCTTATTTCTACGTGAGAGGAATCTCTCTACGGGAGACGGCCATGTTCTTTGACACACCTTTAAATTGTGCTCTTATTTCATTGAGTTAAAAACAATTTCTCAGCTTAATTTGTAACGTAAAAAATACTTTTTATTATAGATATAGCAAGTACAATACTCCCCATAGATGACAAGCCTCAAAAACCAACTGAAAATACTTCTATCACAACCAAAGCCTTAAAAGAGCTTAAATCAGCAGCTGTAAACATAAAAACCATCTCCTGGCCAAGATACTGGGACATATTCTTGATAAAAGGATGCTATGATTTCAGTATGACGATAATTCTCTCAAATCTAGGCCTTATACTGTTGAATGAGTTCGGAATTCAGGGTAGAAAAATGGGATATGTCTTTCTATTCACCGGAGTGTCTGGTGTGGCGTCAAACATTCTGAAAATGAAGCTTAAGAAAGTCTTTGACAAGATCCCAGACTACAACAAAGTGATATATGCTGGAACTGTATTATTCATCACATATATTGGCCTAAGTTCAGCTGGCTCTATATACACGTTTATGTTTTTCCTTGTGGCGCTTTGCATGACTAGGTCCTTTATTGAGACGACTTTAACAGAAATAATCACGACAAAAACACAAGAAACAGATAAAGGCAAAGTGATTGCGGCTTTCGAAAATTTGTCCCCTCTAGCGTTCTTTGTAGTTCCAGCGACATCAGGCTTTGTAGCTGAGATATTTGGTCAAAGGATTCTAGTTGCCTCTGCTGCAATACCGATAAGTGTAGCAATACTCTTAGCGAATAGCAGGAAAAATAAGACTGATTAAAAATGTATATGTAGATTGAAATAAATGTAAATAATTTATAAGCCTAGTCTAAAAATAAAGTATTCTTTGTCTAACGTATATAGATAGTTCATTTTACCCCTCCTACTACTATAGGAGTGAAATGAACCATATCTTTATTAAATAGATACTAAAATATAACAAATATACATATCCACACAAACTGAATAGAACTATTGAGATAATCTCTCTTTCTCAGCATATTTTTCTCTTGAAATGCGGAAGGACTCCTCGAAGGCTGCTCTCATTTTTGGATCTTCCGGAGGATAAGTGTCTCTTTTTGTTTTAACAACCCATTCTTCGAAAAAAGCTGGTTGATTAAAGTAATGAAACATAGCGACGGGGAAAGTCACGTACATAGCCATTTTGGCAATTTCCAATTGCCACGTACCCATTTCTAGAAAATAGCACAGTTATACTCGAGTTTTGCTACAATTATATAAACTATACTCACTAAATAATCTCAAAAATACGATATAATTTAATATTTTCTGGACGTCAAAATAATATCCTAGCAACTCAAAAGTTTGGTTAAGTTCACAGGTTAAGTTCTACAAATTTTCTTTTTAAAATCGTGCCCAAATACACAAGTCATATATAAATGGTACAGATTATAATTTTCTCGAGTTTTTGAACGCACCCAAAGTATGTCTTTTGTCAAAATCAGCTGTGAAGGTTGTCACTTTAACATTTAAAAAATTCATGTAATTTAAATAATTGAATTGCTACAGTGAGATGAAACAGAAACAATGAATTATTAGTTATTAATGCATATTTTAAAACCTCAATAATTCCAATATCAATACGATCGAAACGATGAGAGAACGTGATATGTCGTAATAAATTCCAGCTCTATTTGAGGAAAATAATCAGTAGACTAATAACTTTTTGTTGGTAATTGTTTAGAAAGTCGCGAGAGTTTGTAACAGTTTCAGTTTGGTTTAGGATTTGGACTCGTTTTTATGAGGCTTGGTATGTATAGTCCCTTGTGCGCTAACAATAAATGGGTATTGAAGAAATATTTATTTGGTAAGTATTCTAATTGAACCTTAGTATGAATATTTTATTACCATTTAGTTATTTATTAATTATAATTGCTCTTGAAGACCTCCCAAGTTGTTTATTTTTGCATTTACTGTATTGTAAATATTTTTAAAATATTTTATTTATAGTTTATAGTACCTATGACATTGGAATACACACATATGTTTCCTTTTTCTGCTGGTTGGTTATTGTTTAAGTAAAATTTAATAAATAGATATGTGTGTAAACCTAAGTAACAGTGTCTAAAAATACAACAAAAGATTTTTAGTACTCTTATATTGCAACATAATTATATTCTGCTGTTTGCTTATATTCAGCTAAGTAAATATCTGATCTAAATAAGTAAATAAACAACAGTAAATTACCCTGATAAATTATATATTTAGGAGTAATTATAAATATCTGTCTTCTAGAGTCAGTAAAATAAAACACTAATTCACCACAATACACCAAAACACTTTTGCACTTGACGCGCGCTTCGCATCATCAGCAGATGATTAAATGCTGATGATGCTAACATCGTTAGCGAACCGCGCGTCTAGTGCAAAAGTAAAATGTTTTGCTGTATTGTGATGAATTGTAGTGCTTTATTTTGCTGTTGTAACACCAAAGGTTCCAACCCTCAACTATAATCCTAGAGTCATCATCAGTCAGATAGAAAATTTTAATAAATAAAAATAATAGTACTGTAAAAGTAAATACAACTTGTACAATACGATTGAAAAAAAAGCGGCGTCAGCGATGGCTATGAAATGAAGATCGATGTCATTTTATATGTAAAATTATATGGGTAATGTCATTGATTGTTTCCAAGCCAACTGGAAGTAAGGACTTGCTCTAGAAAGTTGCTTTTTTATTAAAAAATAGCTAATTGGCTCTTCTAAAAACTGTCGTCGCTTGATTTTTTGTTTTTCATTCAATTAAAAAAAAAATAAAAAGTATTTTTTTCCTGATGTCGTAGCGGATGCGCCAGGCTTCAACTAGTATAAATATAAATTAATGTAAAGTTGATTTGGCAATAATTGGAAATGAATAATGTATCCCCATCTTTTACCTAAATAAATATCTCACTTATAAGTTAAAACAGTTTCTCTAAAGCAAATAATTTTCTATACTCTATTGTTCCCATATTGTTCCATATTTTATTAACATTGAGAGTAATTTTTATGTAAAATTACCATATTAGCACAGTTTTATACCAAATTCAAATCCCAGATATCTAAATATTTAAATTTATTCAAGGTTGTCTTTTTTAAGTATTTTTTTCCTACAAAGTGTAGAATAAATATTGATATTATCATTACAAAGTTCACCTAGTCTTGATTGAAGCGAATAAAAATGGAATTTTTTGACTGAATCATGAATGACCAATAAATATTTTTCTGAAAAAAATCAGTAAAGAAATAAATTTGAAAAAATTAGTCATTTTGATAATTTATTTTTAGATATGTTATTTTTTCTGCCAAACCCCTGTCTACACGTAATGTTTTACAGGCGGACTGTGCAGGCCAGTTTGCGTAGTTTAACTGTGCAGTTTTACGCTAAATTATTGCTTTTTAAGACACTGTCTATTTTTTTTAAGAACTTTCTAAGTTATTAATCTTTTTAACGACTGCTTCCCTATTTGCTTTTGATTTTTTATTCCATGGCAAAGTTTTATACTACTTCGTGTTTCACCGGAAATGACTACTGTGATATATCATATGTCAACTTGTGACATTTTCGCTAATGGTTTATTATGTATGACAATTTCACTCGAAATACCAAGTGTGTGGTATCAAATTATTCGCAAAAAAATGCTTTTTCCAAATATGCTCACGAGCCACCCTCCTTCCATTTGAAAAAATTGAGATATGATTAAAAATATGATTTGGGCATCTTTTAACCAGCTATGACAAGACACGAAAAACATTATACTATCAGATCTATTTTTTCAATGCTCCTTGATTAAAAATTAGTATTTTTAACACACCTATGGCACTTTAGATTAAAATTTAAAATACGATTTTATAAGCGAAAATATCATGAGTTGGCATATGATATCTCATTCTATTCAGAGTATCATTTTCTACTGAATAAACCGGGAATGTCGTTTAAAAATCAAAAGTTGTAATCATTTCCGGTGAAACAGGAAGTGACCGAAAACAATTGAATACGTTAATCAATCCTAATTTATCATTATCATACTAAATCTCGTTTTTTTATCTGAAAAAATTAAAAAAAATATATAGGGATGCGCCATTTTAGAGAAACACCCGGTATATTTATTGATCAGTCAAAGATTTTAGATTATTGCTATGTTACTTTGACCACTTATTTTAAAGGTATCAACGGAAAATTGGAACTTATGATAAACAGTTATGGGAAACAAAGATAGAACAGAGAGAACAGAGGCACTATGGCCTGACCCATGTGCAAATGAGAAGCGCCAAACCCAACACTGACTTAATTGATTTGGATTTAGTGAGAGGTAATAACTCCACAGACTTGGTATGACCCACAAATGCAAATATTTTATCCGCAGGCCAAATCTTCTGGTTTATGGGGGCTAATAATAATTTCTAGACAAAAAAAAACAGTAAACCAAATTAAACTAAAAAATAAAGAATCATTTAAAAAAAATTAATAAATTTTGGCTAACGTTGTTTGCAGGATCGTCTTTTACCAAGGCCAAACCCCAACATGGCTTTTTTAAAGTTACCAGAATGGCAACGTTGCGCTGCCTACTTATGCCGTTTTACGCCAAATGGTGGATTCGTCAGACGTCCTCCGGTTTCTTCGCCTTCACCCTATTTCTATACTTAGTTCAGTTAGAGAATATAGCCGCGTACTATATATATACTTCGAGATACTGCGACAGCTCTACAGAGGTCAGTATGATCCAAAGATATAGAGAGAGGTAGGGAAAAAGAGCACCGCGACATCGAATTTGACAATGACAAAATCGTATTTTTGCTGGTATTTTAATTGTATAGACTGTTTAGGCATCGTTCACCGTTACGTCGTCATTATTTGACAAATATGAATTTTAGGGTGTGTCTGAGATCAGTTCATATTGTGCGCGTTCAGGGAACACCGCGGCTGACCGTTCGCTGAGTATTTTGCTCAGCGGCTGACTGTTTTTGTGTGTGAAAACCATGTAAAAACAGACCGTTTAGGGAAGTCGCTTACTCAGCCACTCAGCCTCTGATCATCCCTGAACGTGCACAAAGAAAAATAATTTATAAGCTTAGCAATGAGCTCTTGTTCATTTTGATTTTGAATTGAAAAAATTGATTTTATTTCACAGCAACAATAAAATTTTAATTTTGACATTGATCGATGTCCCTCAATAAAATTATAACCCCAAATCAAATGACAATGACAATTACTAAAAAAGAATATGCAGTAATTTACGAAATGCTGTATTGACGTCACCAATCTCTTTCATCTGAGTGATTGAGAGAGATAGACAATATATGACGTGACGTGACGTTGAACGATGGCTGAACATTCTATACATTAGAACATAGCGTATTCTTTTCGTTTTAATTATTTTTATCTGTCAGATACTTACAAGCGAAAAATTTTATTAAAAGTAGCGTCCTCTGTCTCTAATTTAGCTAGTTTCTGATCATAAAAATAAAAAAAAAACGCTCTTGAACTTATATTTTACTCTTTTACTAGCTTCGGAACTTCTTCTTCCATTATTTAGTAGTATCCGTTTATCAAATCCAATAAAATAATACTATATGTTACTCACTCACATTTTCCCTACTTCTATTTCTCTAGTATGACCTTTGAGAGAACTTTGAACATTTTTGATTAAGTGAATATAGTTTTATTTATTTTTCACAACGAATTAGATTGTTTCCTGTATGGAAATTGTCATACCTATACTAATGGGATGGTTGCTGAGTCTGATACACTCTCAGATAGTGTCCACTATACCCGATAAGAAAGATAATCCAAGGAGACCAAGGAAGAAGCTACAGTTTGCCGATGATATCGAAAATCTTAAACCAGAGAGCAGATCAAAAAAGTTAGTTGCAAGTATATTAATTGATATTTTTACTTGGGGAATTGTATGCTAACAATAATACGCTTAATTAAAATATTTAGGGCCGTTATTTTGAATGCCGGTTACCACATTTTAACCGCTGTTTAGTGAACCCCAAATCTAAGTCTCTTCTTGAAAAAAAAAATAGTTTTAGTATATATTATACTTGTTTTTTTTAATTTTACTTATTCCAAAAACATTTTACTTTTTTTCCTGCGTTTTACGTGTTTTTTTTTGTTTTACACGTGGAATTGGTACGTTAAACAATTACTACACTGCGAAAAAAACCGAAGTAAGTCAAGGATGCATAGTAAAGAGGGTTATTCCGTGTTTCCTCCTCTAACTTTGTCTCGGCGTATTTTTATTTCCTAAACTCATAAAGGGGAGTTTATTTGGGAGAGTTTCGGTTGGCTCCTGTTGTCTCGTTCAATTTCTTGTTGTCTCGAACTACTTCTACGTCGTTCTAAGCCCGAGTCAAAGGACTTTTTTTCTTAAATCTGAACGAAATAAGCAAACGTAGACATTTCTAAAATATCTGTTGTTACAACGATATTTCTTTAATCACATCTGGTTATGTTGATATCATTTTCAATGTCAAAGGAAGCTAGATAAAATCAAGAAAAATATACGTTTTGAAACTAAATTTTAAATAACTTAAAAACGATTTATTTTAGGTATAGGAACATGTATACTCAAAAAGTACTAACTTTGAACTTAACACTAACTTAAAGTAACTTTTCACTAGTGAAATGAAAAAAGTGGGTTTCCATTTGAAAAAAATGATTTATGATAATTTTTTAATCGTTCAATACCATGACAGTTACAGCCATTATTATATGACATTTAAATAACTTAATTTTTGAAATAGATAGCCACATGGCTCCTCGTTATGGCACAGTGGCTGTGGTAATCACTAAATTTGGTTTTCAGGCTATACAAATTTCTTCTTATTTCAAATGCTTCGCGAAATATTTTACGAAATATTTCCAGAAATATTTCGTAAAACATTTCGAGTTTTTTGAAATAAGTAAAATTACTAAAAGAATCATAAAATTTAAACCTTTTTTTCTCAAGATGAAGCTTTAACTTTGGTTTGATTTATTAAAATGAAACCAAAATTATGTACGTTCAAATCTAGTAATTTAACACACCGTGCTTTAAATTTTGCAACTTATGTCATTATCACAGCCTTACTCAACATTAACGTTTGTTTAACATCGGACCATTCACAATACGCTTTTTAGCCAAAAAAAACTCCATTTTTGATGCATGTTTCACCCACGTTGCTTCAGCTAACTTAGCCAGAAAACTTTTTTTAGGTTTTCAAGAATAAAGAGCAGTAGTCCATTTAACATCAAATTTAATTCATATCTCATTAGACGCAAATACAGGTAAGATTTTTCTTGTTGCATCATGGGGTTTGTATTTTGTTTTGTTTTGTTCGATTTTTTTTACGTCGAACAACATCGCAACTGTTGATTTTTTATTGATTTTTTTTGGTAGCAAATAGAAATTTGTTATTGTAAAAGATGAAAATATAGAGATGCTTGCAGAAGAATTTTAAAAATTCTAAAATTTACGTTCAGTCTATCGGTCGTCCAGGTTGACAGTTGTTGCCATTTATTTTCTATATTTTTGTTTGCATTTTCCTTTGAACAAAAATATTAAGGAAGGAGTATAATGCTGTCTATGTATTCATGCATGTTAAAAGGAGGTGGGGACCTAGGGTGGGGATCCTTGACAGTTCTGTTTGACGATTTATTTGACACACTTGAATTTGATTTGAAATTTTGTGGATTTGTTTGTCTTTACTGAGGTTATTTTATGTTATTTATTATTTATGCTACAAGTGGTAGTTGTTTAGAGGTAGTAAATCTAGAAGAACATTTTTTGTGGCAGAACTTAAATTAACAATGACACTATTGCGATTTATCGAAAAAAACTGTAAAATAGTTGGTCGTGTAGCGTGCGCTAGATCTCGGTCAAAAATCGGGGGAAATAATGGAATAACTAATCGCTAATATGTGACTACATAATATACATACGTGTAGTAAACCGATCATTTATGAAATTCACTTAAAATTAACTAATTATATATTTTTTCTTGCATTTTTGCTTTTATTTACTACTTGTCAAAGATTAGATGTCAAAGAATTTAGATACGTCATTTTGACTTATCTGCTTCAGTAGCGTATCGGATGTTTGTTTTAATAAATAATTATTATAAGTTATCTATTTTTATTAGAACTATATATTTTTATAACAATTTTAATAACTACCAACATTTATTGACAACGTAAAATAAAACAACAAATTATTGAGTCTACCCTACATCATATTTTTACACGTTTTGAATAAAATTAGAACGGCACTGATAAACCGGAATTTAAGTCGGCCATTTTTGGTCCCCATCGTGCGCGACCTAAATTTTTGATATGGTCTTATTTAACCTTTTTATTTCAAGGTTTTGCAACTACATGTCTCAAATAAATGCCTACAGAGTTGACAAAGATATGAAAGAAAGTTTTATATAAACATTGCTTGGTCTTGGTATCCTAAATTTTTTTATTGTATACAGGGTGTTCCAAAAAAAAATAATGATAAAGTTGTAGAATACCATTTTTTGATTTATTTTGTAAATATTCCACCAGTTTATTATTTCTTAACCTGCGTTTGCGGAAAATTTATAAAACTATTTTATAAATAATAAAGGTGTTCAATTGCTTATGTGACTTAATCAAGTACTTAGCTGTGCGAGACTTCGTGATAATGTCTGATAAAAACTCAGTTAATGTACATTCGTGGAAAAATTGTCGATAATAAATAATGTTATTTCAAAATTGCGAACAATAGATTTTGTTGTTAAATATCTTTTATATCAGCAGATTGCTATCGTTGCTTTACTCAGAAAATGTAATTTTTAATTGACAATTTGATAAAAACTACAACCTAAAAAAAATAATAGATCATTCTAAAATTCATTCTTATCTGTAAATAACAAACTGTTCTGTATAGAATGTAAATATAGCATCTCTATGTTCTCTCACGTATACAATGCAATCTTTTTAATAGGAACAGCTAAATTGTGACGACCTATTTTGACATATTGTATTATATTGCTCAAAACCTACGTTTATATAATATAGTCCAGTAAATAAGGGCACGAAAAAACCTAAGTCTCACCCAAGTCTCGGTGTAATTCGTCGACGTTGACTTTTTAGGCGGATTGTGTATCTTTTGGGGAGTACTTATAGGGAAAAAATTGTAACACGTTCTCTCAGTTTTTTGCAATTATCTGCCAAAATATGCAATTTACAGAATTTTTCTTGAAATAAAAAAATGAAGGTTAGGTGATTACCTACAAAAATGGTCCTTATAATTTTTTACGTAGAATTAATAGTTTTCGAGATATTCTGCCTTGAAGTCTTAACGCTCCGGAGATAGATTTCATAAGTGTATCATCGATTGATAGGACAAATTGTTTAATAACTCGCCTAAAATTTAATATTTTTTGATGATTCAAAGTTCATTTAAAAGGTAGAATCAACAGCTATCACATTTTGGAACTTGTTTGAATTTTGTCATATTTTATGATAATAAAAATCCGGGCAAACATCAATTGGCTGAAAAAGTTATTCATATTTTCACTAATAATAGCTTATTTGTTTTAAGATTTTTTTAACAGTTGTTCTTACAGTCTCTATGTTCCGATTAGAGAGGTTGTATTGCACTCTGACGATTTATCTTCAAACAACTTAAAAAAACTTTATAATTGATAACTGCTAAGATACGACCGCTGTTTTAGATTAACCATCAGACCTTGGTTTAAAAGCCAAAACGTCGACGATGACGGTTTCGAAAGTTTTACCGGAAATGGATCTAGAACCAGCGAAGAAGACCTTGCTGATGATTCTACCAACGAAAAAATAGGTAAAAAAACAACCTCACTCGTCAAAGTTTACAGATATCATATTCTGTAAGAATCAAGCAATGAAAACATCTTACAGATATTAATTTCTGTAAACGTTGAAAATAGGTAAAAAACCAACCTCACTCGTCAAAGTTTACAGATATCATATTCTGTAAGAATCAAGCAATGAAAACATCTTACAGATATTAATTTCTGTAAACGTTGAAAATTGGTAAAAAAAACCAACCTCACTCGTCAAAGTTTGCAGATATCATATTCTGTAAGAATCAAGCAATGAAATCATCTTACAGATATTGATATCTGTAAACTTTGCTTTACAGGTTATTTTTGTTATTTCGCTGTATATTTTCTGTTACAGTTGAAAAAGCGAATCTTTCTGAAAATGAGGATAAAATTGAAGCTGTAGATTCCCAAATTTTGCCGCTAAAACACGAAAATCCTGTAGAATCAGATAGCAGTTGTAGACATTGTAAAAGAGGTAGGGATAGAGTTTATCAAAAGTGTTATTATTATTTGTAAACTTTACGTGAAATTAAGGTAGTCAAGATCAAGATTTGAACAGTGAAGAAAACTCTGAAAATTGCCATTCTTGCAACAAATGCGAAAACTGGGTACAACAATTGAAAGACACTGTCTCTGAACCGGTTTGTTCAACGGATTCAGAGAGCGAAGGTGAAGCTTTGTTCGGCAAGTTTAAAAAACAGCCTTTGGTAAGTTTATGTCAGTCAAATATAAGTGTCAACATTCATCAGCATTGATAAAAGTGTTTTGGTTGTTTTTTGTTGCCTCTAAATCATTCACTAAAGAATACAAGGACGCGTATTCTCCTTTAAATAGAAAGATTAAGAAAGGAGTATAATGCTATCCATGACGTCAAAAAATTTTACAATTTGTAGAGAAAGGTAAAGTAAACAAAATAGTAAACAAACAAAAGAGAATACAAAACATTATACAAATAGCATTGCCAGTCTTATTGTTTAAAATAAATATTTATAAATGTTTACAATGTCAAAGAACAAAAAAATAAAAATAAGATTCAAAAATATTTTTTGGTATTATATATCTTTATACTAAATATCAATGACCTCGAGATACATTTACCTCGATGTCATTGGTAAATATAGTAATAGCAAACATTAAACCAGTTGGTTAGGTTAGGTTAGGTCAAGATCAAATTCGATTATCAAAATATAAGTCATTTACGGCGTAGAAAGCCTTGTCTAGTAAATAAGATTTCAATGCTTTGCGAAATGAAGAAAATGCTGTTATGGATTTGATTTTAAATAGCAGGTGATTGTGCATTTTTTTTTGAGTTGTATAATATTGAACTTTTAACTAACTCTGAGCGTGGGGTAGGTAGATAAAAATCTTGCTCCGCGTTCCTGAGTGGATAAGTGTGAGATGGTCTTTCTTGAGAAGCTGATACATGCTTACAAATGATACAAATATAAATAAGGAAGGAAGAGTTAATATTTCTAATTTTTAAAAAAACTCCTGGCAATGAGTTCTGCTGTTTAGTCCCAGTGAATATCGAACAGCTCTCTTCTGGAGCTTGAAAATGAGGTTAAGTGGAGTCGCACAACACGTACCCCAGAATGGAAGGGCATATCTGAGGTGCGACTCAAAAAGTGCATAATAAATAGTTCTAGCCACTGACAAGTTAAGCTCCTTAGAAACAGATCTTAATGCAAAACAGGCAGAGCTTAATTTTTTCGATAAAGCGTCGATAATATGCATGTCCTATTTCAGAGAATTGCCAGATTAGATGTCAAAGAATTTAGATAGTAAATTTGACTTACCTGTTTCAGTAGCGTATCGGATGTTTGTCTTAATAAATAATTATTATAACTTATCTATTTTTATTAGAATTTTATGTTTTTATAACAATTTTAATAACTACCAACATTAATTGACAACGTGAAATAAAAACAACAAATTATTGAGTCTACCCTACATGATATTTTTACACGTTTTGAATAAAATTAGAACGGCACTGATAAATCGGTATTTAATTTCTTAATCTTTTTTTTCAAAGTGTGGTACACTATATTATCTAGGGACTTTAGTTAGGTAATTCTCTGGAAAAAATACTAAAATTGACAATTATTTGTAGTCCAAACGTCGAAATTCAGTGCTGCCAACGATAAACGTTACTTCGGCCCTGGACAGCACTTGTGACACTGAGAACGAAGCGCTTTCGTCACCAAGAGACTGGACAGCAGGTCCGTACTTGATTTTTTTTATTAGGGAATCTAAGAAAAAAATCTATGAAAAAAATCTTCATGACTTTTTTAGGTGTTACAACTAACAGTGAAGACTGTAGCAGTGATTTGGACGATGTTTCTGATGCTGCACCACCCGATAGGTGTTCTGATTGTTTTGTTTTGGACGGGGATGCCAATGCTCTTCTTACACCACCTACTGTTAAAGGTACTTATTTCTTTTAAGTTTTGCAATAAGTACAAATTTATTATTAAATAGTACTGTGAGTCTGTGGTTGGTTCTTTGTTGCAATTTTATTATTATTAAAATAACTGAACGTTTGTTATTTTTATAGCTAGTTGTACAATATACAAACAGGATGAAATAAAGAAAGCCGACCTGTCAATGCTTGACATAAGCTCAATCATAATCTCCAGGGTGGAGGCAATGCCATCTACACACGACTATTTCTATGCCGGTGTTGTCCTTGCTGCTGTGCTGTCTTTGACACCTTTAATGTGTCGTTTGACTGAAGGTACGATCATTTAGTCTATTGGTATGTTTTTGGAAAATTCAAATATATAAAGAAATAGTAATAAGATATAGGGTGTGTCATTTATATAAATTTATTTTGTATACCCTTGTAGTATGTATCCAAAATATTTTCGCAAAACAATTTCCGATGCACGTGATCAACTTTGAGTGACAAGCCATGGCGACATGGTGACCTAAATACAAAATATTTTCATGGTGTCTGTCTGTCCGTCTGTCCGTCCGTCTGTAACACGATAACTCAAAAACCGGTGAACCGATTTTAACCAAATTTGGCACAAAAATACCGTGGCACCCGGGAGTCTGGCCATTAGTTTTTGGTGGGGGTGGGGGGTTGGTAAGGGGGTATGGGAGGGGGTTAAACATTTTAAAAAATCATAACTCCAAAATTACAGTAGCTAGCGAAACGCGGTTTTCAAATTAAGATTAGGAATAATATTTCCAACAAAATTTGTAATAACATCAAAATCAGTCAAAGTCGCAGTTTTCGAGATATTAACATATTTTAGTATGGGCGGCTATACGTGCCTCCCGGCGCCAATTTATTTTAATTTAATAACTAATATTTTAGTAATTAATTGATCTATTTGTTTTATAGCTTATTTTACTTATTACATATTGGCAAAAACTAGTCCATTATGAAGATTATTCTAAGCATTATTATGGGTTATTTATTTATTTATTGATGCACATCTTACAACGCGATAAGTGGTAATACCAAGTAAGAGGGTGCTATTAATGGCGTTTTATTTTTTGTAACCTAGATCATAATATTATCCCAATTCTGATGTCAGTTCATAAAAATACAATCTTTGATTATGCGTCTTTGATTCTTTGTTGTTCCTCCTAAATTTAGCGAAGAAGAAGAAGAAGTCTTTTAAAGAAGCATATCAACCTCTTAATACAAAGATTAACTAAAAAATGTCTAAACGGTAATCGCAAAACAATTTCAGATGCATGCGATCACTTTTGAGTGACAAGCGATGGCGACAGCGCTGCCAGATTGTGATGGATTTATGGAATGAATCTTAATGTAAAATTGGGAAACAATATATTTATTATATCATTTTTTTATATTATATATAAGATTTTTAGGTTTTATTTTTAATTTATTAATTAATATTTTAGTAATTAATTGATTTATTTGTTTTATAGCTTATTTTACTTATTACATATTGGCAAAAACTAGTCCATTATGAAGATTATTCTAAGCGTTATTATGGACTATTTATTTATTTATTGATGTACAACTTAAACATCAGAAGTGGTAATAACAAGTAAGAGGGTGCCATTAATGCACAAACTAATAATCACAGAATTTAATAAAAACTAACGTAGAAATAACTTTTAAATGAACTATTTGTGCTTTTAAAGTATAATTTTTAAAAAAGACTATTAAAATAGGCAAAAAAAACGAGCATTACTCACAAAGATTCAAGAACAACACGATATTATACAAAATAATGACTGATATTAGGATCATTGTCAAATAATAAATGACAACCTTGCTGAAAACGGCGCAATGCGACCAACATAGCGATAATAAAATTCGGTTTCAACTAATTTTTGCAGCTTTAATCTAAATAAAATGTCTTTTACAATCATTTGCTCTATAAAGTCAAATGACGAGCTGCTTGGTATCTTAAATTATACAACAAATTTAAACATTTTTGCCAAAATTTCATTTAGTCAGGTTTATAGATCAATGTCGATATGATTGATGACGTGCTTCGGAAAATGTTTTGTGGATTACAATATATCTTTTTTACATATAATTTTTGATATTTTTCTTCAATTATAAGTCATTTTTATAGGCAACAATGATGTTAAAAACATATGGGAAGCCTGCAAAAACGAAACCCACCATCTTATAGTAACAGGTTCTCCATTGGCAGCGGTGCATGTGGTTGTGGATGAATTCCCGAAAAAACTCCTAGAACTTACCGATCTCACTCTAGGCACATCACCATGGTAAGTCGCACCGTTTGATTTACCACCATCATTGCACCACTTGTGGCGTTTTATTTTTTGTAACCTAGATCATAATATTATCCCAATTCTGATGTCAGTTCATAAAAATACAATCTTTGATTATGCGTCTTTGATTCTTTGTTGTTCCTCCTAAATTTAGCGAAGAAGAAGAAGAAGTCTTTTAAAGAATCATATCAACCTCTTAATACAAAGATTAAGTAAAAAATGTCTAAACGGTAATCGCAAAACAATTTCAGATGCATGCGATCACTTTTGAGTGACAAGCGATGGCGACAGCGCTGCCAGATTGTGATGGATTTATGGAATGAATCTTAATGTAAAATTGGGAAACAATATATTTATTATATAATTTTTTTATATTATATATAAGATTTTTAGGTTTTATTTTTAATTTATTAATTAATATTTTAGTAATTAATTGATTTATTTGTTTTATAGCTTATTTTACTTATTACATATTGGCAAAAACTAGTTCATTGTGAAGATTATTCTAAGCGTTATTATGGACTATTTATTTATTTATTGATGTACAACTTAAACATCAGAAGTGGTAATAACAAGTAAGAGGGTGCCATTAATTCACAAACTAATCATAACAGAATTTACTAAAAACTAACGTAGAAATAACTTTGAAAATTGTATAATGTGCTTACCAATCAAACTTACTTCTCTGACTGCAATTAAGGTTAATAAAGCACTTTTATTGCTACGTTCTTGTTCAAAATAGTTTTTCAGGGAAGCTACAAGCTCTTTGCGTTGACTGCTTAAATGCTTGGCCATATTTTCAACACACAAGTTTAAGAAATAATACAATACAGAAACTCAAAAATTAAGTTCTTAAAAGAACTGTTTCTGCTTAAAAGAACAATTTTTAAAAAAATATTATGAAAATAGGCAAAAAACGATAATTACTCACAAAGGTTCAACAACAACACGATATTATACAAAATAACGACTGACATTATGATAATTTTCAAATAATAAACGACAACGTTGCTGAACACGGCGCAATGTGACCAACATAACGATAATAAAATTCGGTTTAAATTAATTTTTGCAGCTTTAATCTAAATAAAATATCTGTTACAATCATAGACTTAAAATAAAATATAGACTACACTATTTACATCTCAACGCGGACAAACATTCTTTTTTGTACACATGTTTACTTCTGGGTACAGTTGACCGAGCCTTCCTCATCCAGCCTATGTTGTCACGTCTTTAATATTATCAATATTTTTTTCTTGTTATACACATATATTGAGATATTAATACTACAGATTAATAAAGTAGGTTTTAATATTCTATAGATGTATTAAATAGTCCTTATACTACTAAATTATAAGTCGGATACTGTTTAAAAAGGATAAGTTCTTTACAATATGACAACACCGATTAGAGGCGAGGGAGCCTATTCATTCATTTATTACCTTGTAGTACGTGTCGGACATGTGCGGTAAAGCTTTGTTGCCGCTATCTCCCCGGCTGTATTAACGCATTTTCTTAGCTTGTAGTCCTTAAGTGTTTATTTTATTGACTTTTTCTGTTCAAGAACTATAAAATATGGTTCGCCAGTGCCAAATTTGCAAGAAATTTGGCTTAAATAATCCATTTAAGTCTTGAAACGACTTTTGACCGGCAGGCAACTCTCAATTTACCCATTAGGAGTCAGTGGCGTTGTTGTAGAAAGGCGCTTATTTAGATAATATTTTAGTAAAATGTAAAATCTGAATTTTTTCTCTTACATTACATTATTTACTTACTTACATTGTAACAAAATCATAATTATAACCCTGTTAATAATTAATAATGTTTTTATTAAAAATATATTCCGGTTTATTCTAAAATTATCTTCAAAATCTAAAATAACATACAAGAATTTTAAAATGATATTACATTATGAAACAATATTTTTTAATATACCGGGTCGTCTCAAAAGTGGCTCACCCCTATAACTTTTTTATTTTTTCAGATAAAAAAAACAGATTTGTATGTTAGTAGGTATATGACATAAATTAGGATTTATTGGACGTATTCAATTGTTTTTGGTCTCTTCCTGTTTTACCGAAATGACTACAACTTTTGATTTTTAAAGGCACCCTCGGTATATTGTTACTTTATTCGATAAAAAATGACACTCTGAATAGAATGACATATCATATGTCAACTTTTGACATTGACCTAGACAAGACACGAAACCCATTAGACGATCAAAACTATTTTTCCAAGGCTGATTAAAATTAGTGTTTTTAACAACACCATGGCACCCTGGATTGAAATTTAAAATAGGATTTGTTTTTAAGCGACAATGTCAAAAGTTGACATATGATATGTCATTCTATTCAGAGTGTCATTTTCTATCGAATAAAGTAGAAATATACCGAGGGTGCCGTTTAAAAATTAAAAGTTATAGTCATTTCCAAACAGGAAGTGACCAAAAACAATTGAATGCGTCAATCAATCCTAATTTATGTCATATACTAACATACTAAATCTTGTTTTTTATTTGAAAATATAAAAAATTATGGGGATGAGCCACTTTTTGGGACGCACCCGGTATAATAAAGACAGTACCGAGTTAAATAAATGTAGTTTTCATTTTTATCCACTTCCTATCACCTTCCTTGCTTTAATGGAACAGATTTATGTTTTCTCTAATTTACATAAGACATCACTTAACCAGAAAAAAATTTACAACAATCATATTTTTTTTCTCTCCCTGTCGCCGATTCTATTATATCTGTGGAATAGATCCTGTTTTGATTAATATTAGGGGTTATAAATGTTTGACTAAAATTAATAATTTATTATTAATTTCAAAAATTACGTAATTTCGATTATAAAATTTCTTCTCTAACGTGTATTTTATTATTTTTATCTTTTTTGGACTCTAAGACGTTTTTTCTAAACTTTTATTTAAAAAACCTGTCCTAAATCTTAATAAAATATAATAAAAAAGTTTAAATATGATGTATTTTTAATTTAATTATAGCTTCATTAAAATAAAAAAAAATACCCGGCTATGATACGGAGAGTTCAGGTGTACTTGAGAAACGAAAGACAGTGTTGTGTTTCTCGGCAGAGTCGTCAGGGAACGACCGTTACGACAGAGACAACCTATCTATCGCTCGTGTCGCACTCGTTATAACCTAAAACAATAACACAACAATAACAAGACATTGTCTGACCGCATGTTCCAGCTATTTATGAATGAGATGCTCAGTCTATATTTTATTTTAAGTCTATGGTTAATAATAAATAATTTGCTCTATAAAGTAAAATCAGGTAAAGTCAGGTTTATAGGCTTCAGTGCCAATTTTGATATGATTGATGACGTGCATCGGAAAATGTTTTGCGTTTACTGTACCTCTGTCGCGGATTCGTCTCTTCGAAGAACACCACTTGCACTTGTTCTTAAAAAATAAAATGTAGTTAGTTGTTAAAAAAGAGAATTTTAATATACCGTAGTATAATTTTAATATACTAGTATCTACGAAATATTTATGATCTAGGTCTCTGAATAATATCAAAACTTATCCAAAAATTCGTGCGGCAAAAAAATGAGATGATTCCTGGAGTGTTGTAGTACGTATATTTGTATGTTCCAGGGAAAGATCTATAATCGTTGTTTCAATGCTACAACGTTTCGTTTTAGCCTCCATAGTGTTCTTCTTGTTGGCCGTGGCTGAACGCACTTTTAAACAGAGGGTGTTGTACGCAAAATTATTCTCGCACTTGACGTCATCTAGGAGAGCCAGGAAGTCCGACATACCGCATTTTAGGCTTAATAAGGTTGGTATAATCTGTGGTGTAGACCAAAGACGTCTAACTAAAGGGGAATAGGTACAGGGTGGTCCAAACTGTATTCCGGAAACTTCGGCAGCATAAACTACCCCCATACTTAATCTTTTTATTCAAATAAGGTTAGTATTTATACTATTTCTGTTCATAGGTTAGGAATATCAAGACGTGGTTGTCTGTCAGATCATATCTGAAGAAACGAGGACCTCAAAGATCAGTAGACGTAATTGTATCCAGCGCATTTGTAGTCACTTTGTTGCTTTTGGCATTTTTATGTGCCGAATTACTAAAGGTACACCTCTTTGTTACCAATAATGTCACAAAATAATATATTTCTGTGTTTATTTTTAAAAAAAACGCTGGTTTTAGGATACAGTGTCGTTTTCTCAATATTATTTGGAGGCCATGATTTGGTGCCTGGGTCTGGGCATTATGCTACTCCGATTCATGACTTTGGGAACGAAAATTAATAAAAAATATCGAAATCTGTCGGTTTTGATTACAGAGCAGATAAATTTGCATCTGCAGATCGAGCAGAAGCCGCACAAGAAAGACGAACTCAACGTGGCAAACAACGTGTTAAAATTAGCAATCGATCTGCTGAAGGTAATATTTTTCATTTTTTATAAAGGGTTATTTACATCGACGTAAAGTTATAAACACCCTCTACACTATGCCCGAAATGTTTCACGAAATATTTTTGAAAATATTTTGTGAAACGTTTCGCAAAGCATTTCTCGAAATACTTTCAGAAGTAAAGTCAATGCTTTTCTTATGTTGCTGCTTGTCTCGGCCGCAAACTGCGACACAGATCGAAATCGATCGAGACAAGCCGTGATTGGTTGTTTGTTTTATATTGTTATTGGAACTATCTCGGGAAATGTTTCGAGAAACGTTTCGATTAGTCAACAAACGGAAATAAGAACGGAATAATTGGGAGTTTATACCGGGTGAGTCTCAAAAGTGGCTCACCTCTATAACTTTTTTATTTTTTCAGATAAAAAAACGAGATTCGGTATGTTAGTATATGGACACAAATTAGGATTGGTTGACGTATTCAGTTGTTTTTGGCCACTTCCTGTTTCACCGGAAATGACTACAACTTCTGATTTTTAAATGGCACCCTCGGTATTTTTTTACTTTATTCGATAGAAGATGACATTCTGAATGGAATGACATATCATATGTTAACTTTTGACATTCTCGCTTAATAAAAAATCGTATTTTAAAATTCAATCTAGAGTGCCATGACTATGTTAAAAACACTAATTCTTAATCAAGGAGCCTTGGAAAAATAGATTTGATCGTCTAATGTTTTTAGTGTCTTGTCCTGGTCAGTTAGAAAATGCTCTAATCGTATTTTTAATTATATTTCAATTTTTTCAAATTTAAAGAGGGTGGCTCATTAGCATATTTAGAAAAAGCATTTTTTTACGAATAATTTGATACCACACACTTGGTATTTCGAGTCAAATTTTCGTTACGAACCGCAAGTTATAATTTCAAATAAACCATATGCGAAAATGTCAAAAGTTGACATATGATATGTCATTCTATTCAGAGTGATATTTTCTATCGAATAAAGTAAAAAAATACCGGGGGTGTAATTTAAAAATCAAAAGTTGTAGTCATTTCCGGTGAAACAGGAAGTGACCAAAAACAATTGAATACGTCAATCTAACATACCAAATCTCGTTTTTTTAACTGTAAAAATCAAAAAGTTATAGGGGTGAGCCACTTTTGAGACGCACCCGGTATAGTCTTTGAAGGACTATTGAGCTGTAATTTTACTTCAATTTTCTTGCTTTTCAGGAATTGGAGAACCCATTTAAAATATCGGGGCTTTCTGCTAATCCCATCCTGTATAACATCACCAAACTAGTGATTTTATCAGCATTGTCGGGCGTTTTATCTGAAATGCTTGGGTTTAAACTGAAATTACACAAAATCAAATTGAAATAATCTTTTTAGTCATTGTCAGTATTTTCTAATAATTTCAATTTATATGAAAAAAAGCACAACGAATTTTTTAAAATATATTTTTGAATGTTATTATTAATAATATCATAATGATCATAAACAAGTTTAAATCAGGTTTTTGACATTCTGATTGAGAAAAAATTCTATACTGTCTATAAAATATTTTGTTTCCAAATTATTGTATGAATTTTATCTATATTTTCTGAAGGTATTTCAGTAATACTTGGTTATTTCAAACACCTTGTATATTGCAAAATAAGTCTCGGTGTAGCAACTCGTTTTACGCGATAAACAATCATACTAAATGTTCTAGTCGATGTTTAATGTTACTATTATTATACTGGGTATCTATTTTCCTTGAAATTTAAGAAATAATCGGAAACAATGTACAGACTGCCAAAAAGTTCACAGCAAATGGGAAAAAGTGAGTTTTTAAAAAATAGTTTGCTGAAATTTTTATAATTTTTATAATAAATATAATTTTGACCTCATGTGACAACTGTCATGGTGGCAAATTACCAAAATCGTCTTTTAATGTGCAAGAAATATTTAAAAAAGTTATAGGTTTTTAAAAAATCATCAGTATATCTATTAATCTATATTAAGAATGTTTTCCATTTCTTGCGAACTTTTTGGCAAGCCCTGTATATTGCAACACTCCTGCTCCGTTGAAACACGGCTTTAAATTTTCGCAAAGGTTAGACTGATTTTTCAAAATGTTCTTTACTCCGAAGAAAGGTTTTTAAAGCCTCCAATTTTGTTCAAATAAGACAAGGATATTGATACATCCAGTATATACATCACATTTTCAATAGTTAATAGGGTATCATGATTGAAATATGTTTATAAATATTTAAAAATATAGGTTCATTTGAACTAATCTAGAGAGCCTTGATGTTATACAGGGATAAAAGGAATCTTAGTTTATGAGCATTATTAATAGTTGTATTTATGTATAACTAATGATCTTGTTTTCTTTAAACTTAAATAAATGGTCAAGCAACGTACATACATCACAATTTCAATAGTCAGTAGCGTATCAAAGCTAAAATATGCCCATATACGTTTTAAAAGAAATATGTTCATTTGAACTATTGCTGAAAGTCAAGTTAATGTTGCACAGGGATATAAAGGACTGTCGTGAAAAAGATAAATACATTTTTATGAACGTTTATACAGTTCTATTTATACGTGTACAGAGTGTGCCAAAAAGTTCGCACAAATGAAAAAATTATTTGTTTATTGTAAAAACACACAATTTTGGGGATACAATTCTGCATACTGAATAACAAAAAAAAATGTAAATAGAAATGTGGTATAGAAAAATAATACTAAGCTAAATAACAAAAATTACCTGTAAAGAAAAGTTTACAGATATTAATATCTGTAAGAATGTTTTCATTGCTTCATTCTTAAGGATAAGGTATCTGTAAACTTTGACGACTGAAGTTGCAGTTATAACAAGCTAAATAACAAAAATCACCTGTAAAGAAGAGTTTACAGATATTAATATCTGTAAGAATGTTTTCATTGCTTCATTCTTACAGAATAAGATATCTGTAAACTTTGACGACTGAAGTTGATTTTTAACCTATTTTTTCGTTGGTAGAATCATTAGACAGATCTTTTTCGCCGGTTCTAGGTCCGTTTCTGGTAAAATTTTTAAACCCGCCATTATCAATTTTATCAAAAATTAATTACAGCGTTTTATATACCGGGTGTTTTTCAAAAGTGGCTCACATGACATTATTTATGTCAAACTTATGTATTTTCGTTATTAGGCATGCGGAATTGCTAAATAAATTACATGGGTTTGAGAATTTTTTCGCTCGCACTGTATATTTTACCAATTACACATCCAATACCTTATACGTAGTATGTTATCTTAGAACACATAGCTACATTTTGAAATAGTCGTATTGTCTAGAATTAAAAAAAAAACTCTATGTTGGATATACAGAGGGCAGAAAAATATGTGATTGAAAATAGTTTTAGAAAATTAAATCACGTTATTATTTTTTAAGATACAGATATACAGGGTGGTCCGAATTGCATCCAGGTAACTTCGGCAGCATATTCTACCAATAAAAATGTTCGTATAAATGTATGTCCTAAAGTGATTCGTTTTGCAGATACAGGGTGTAGAATTTTCATTTTTATTTCAATTTTTTCCAAATTAAAAATGAAACTTCTACACCCTGTATCTAAAAAAATAATTTTAGGACATACATTTATATGAACTTCTTTACCTATTTTTATCTGTAGAATATGCTGCTGAAGTTTTCCGAATACAATTCGGACCACCCTGTATATATTATTTTTTTGGGGAATATTTTAAGTTTTTTAAATTCTGTTTAGTTTAATGAATACTTTCTTTATATTATCGTAGTTTTTTTGATATTTTTCTGTGAAAAAGGGTAGAAAAAATGTGCAAATATTTAGAAGTGATAATCGATGTGATTGAAATATATTTTTTCGTTGTTTTAAACGGTTTCCTACTAGTTTTTCATGTTAATATTAATGAAAATAATAAAACTATTTAGAATAGTATCCAAATGTGTTTTATTTCAACTGCTACTTACCTTTGATTACCTATGTTACGCCACTGATGATCACTATTAAGCATAGGCGTGCTTTGCTTTTTTTAACTTAGAATAAATGAGAGAGGGAAACGATACCAGGAGGAAGTAGATACATATTTAGTCTAATTTGTCTTATTATGAGCTTCCTAAAACTATTTTTAGGAAGCTCATAATAAGGCAATATTAAATAAAAAAAACATATACAGGGTATCCCATAAAAAAAACATAAATACAACAGATAAGTCTATATAGATCATACCAAATAATGGTACATACCAGTATGGACAAAAAGAAGGTAAAAATACGCATCTAAACTATTTATTTTTACATAGGGTACAAAAATAATTTTTTTTCTAACATTTCATTTTTCTCTATACACGAATTGACTTAAACAAGAGAGTTGTAGAATTAATAATAATTTTCCACATCTTTATTTACATTATAACCTATTTACAAACACAGAAAAAACTTATGACAAGGTTCTAGTTCAAACTTGACTCGTATCAGTAGGTTGACTACTGACATGCGTCATGTACTTCAACGATATAGACTCTGGGCTACGCTTGCACGGATCGTTTTGGTTCTGTCCTTTTCTGACACGCGGCGGGCAGCACAGCTGCTTGAAGACGCACGTGTAGCACACGAGTAGTCCGCCCACTATGCAACCGCCTACGCAAAGGGTGATGGCGATCTCCATGTATTCCCCGATCAACATGGCAGGTCAACGCATCATGATTGGATGTGGTCCGCGCGCGGCAGTCATTCTGAAACAAAAAGAAAAACTATATAGAAATCAATAAAAGTTACCTAATAAATAAAAATAAACTGTTAAAATTGCCTTATATCTATCAAAAATAGTAGATAAAATAGTACTTTAACCGCAAGGGTAGATTAAATGGTACTTTAACAGCGAGGATAGGTTAAAAACTTTATTTCTTCTCGCACGTTTTTTAATTGCTTCCATTTTTGAAAAATGTTGTATTCCTTTTCATAAGTTCGAATATCTGTTGGTAATTTACTTATTTCGTTTTGAGCCATTTCTGGCTCCAATTCAGTCAGCAATCGACACGAAAGAGGATTAAAAAATATTGACTCAAAACCATTGCCTGGAAACTTATATGGTGAAATTTTGATAAAATAATTTAGTACTCACTAAAAACACGGTATGTCGTTAGTGGTAGGAAAAATAATTTTTAGAGGTTAATAGTTTATTTGGTTGCCTGTGATATGCATATACAGGGTGTTTCCTAATTAATCTAAAAAATAAAAAATCGTTAGAAAACGGCTTAAGGCGGACTCTTAATAAGTATATTTATTTTTTTCTCGGCAACTGTAGATCAGAAAGGAAGTACTTTAGACCCAATGGTTATATAAAAATTGTTTTAAGAACACATGAGGAATCACACCACAATTTTTTTAGACTAATTAGAAAACACCCTGTATATTGTCAACTTGACAATGATTGTTCATAAATCAAAAAATACCTTTTCTGTGAAAAAAGCCCGATTTTCGCAGGAAAAATTTTGGTTTTTATTGAATTTGGGCCTGCGTCTGCAAATACCGGTATGTTTTTTAATAATCTATCTATCTAAATTTTAAATATCATAGTCAGAAATAGTTTTATTACTTATTAACTGTAAAAATGGTATACTTATAAGTTTTATCAAATACTGTGATTTACTTTCTACCTTGTAGTCAAAATTTATATTTAATAAACTGTAAAATATATATATATTCTTATGTTTTATTAAAGTTACTCTGATATACTAATATACAGGGTGAGTTTCCTACGATGTTCTCTATGGGTATCTCGGAAACTACTGGAGATAGAGAGTCGGTTAAATGGGGAAAGAATTGCAGTTTTGTGGGGTCATAAATATGTGCCTTTCAGATTTTTGAAAAAGTTCATGGCTTACTAGATATTTCGAAAAAAACAAATTTCGGCTATTTTAAAAATTGTCCCTAATTCCATTATAAGCTATTTTAGACAAAAAGTTTTCAGATAAAAGTTGTAGATAATCACATCCTTAATGAGACCGTGTTCTCCGTTTTTTTCTAAAGGCTGTCATTTTTGACATATGACACAAACATAGTTTTTTTTTAAATGGAAACCATAGTTGGCCATGACTTCATAAAAAGCGCCATTTTATAAGCTTTTTAGTGATGTAGCTATAAAATGTTTTCTTCGAAAAATTACTGAGTTATAGCCAATTCTTATCATTTTTAAACAATTTCACTTAGTTAGCCATGGAAACAAGTTTAATCGTCTTTGCTCTCATAAATGTGAAGCTGTCACATCCGAATTTTGTAAATTAAAATAAACAAAAATTGTAAATGTGAATTTTTCAAATGAAGAAAAGCGTGTAGGATTATTGGTTCAACTTTTCTTGACCATACATTTTCGAGGATACGTTGACCGGTGAATGTTACGTTTTTTTAGAAAACGGTTTTGAAGACATGTTAGAAAAGTTAAATTTAGTTATAGCCAATTTTTATCTTTCTTGAATAATTTCACTTAGATTGCATGGTATTCTTATTCTGTTATGATTTATAACTTATAAAAAGTCAGAATATATTACTAAACGGTTCTTTATAATTTACATTACACAAACTAATACTTAAAAAAATAATATCACTACATACACTTTAAGTTATTTTAGAAAATGTTCAAAAAATCCGCCATTGTTTTGAGTTGCATCTTTTTAAAACTGAATTATTACCTATTAGACCTATTAGATTATAGAAGGACCGGTCGACTTAATTAAACTTTTCTCGTACCGCCATTTCGAGTGCCTCTCTTAATTCATAAGTTCTTTCGTAAACCTTATTGTTAACTATACAGCATAAAAAATTCTAAAATGGATAGGTCAGGTGATCGGGGAGGCCCATGCAATTAGTCCACCTCTTCCTATCCCTGCGTTTGTATACTTATAATATAAATAAGTTTTAACATTTCTTTCATTATGGGGGGTGGTGTGTCATAATCATGTCATAATGAAAGGTCATGTTGGAAACATTTTATTGATGCGCGAGTATCTAGTGTATCTACACGCTTTTCTTCATTTGAAAAATTCATATTTACAATTTTTGTTTATTTTAATTTATAAAGTTTGGATGTGACAGCTTCACATTTCTGAGAGCAACGGCGATTGAACTTATTTCCATGGCTAACTAAGTGAAATTGTTTAAAAATGATAAGAATTGGCTATAACGCAGTAATTTTTCGAAGAAAACATACTTTAGCTTACATCACTAAAAAGCTTATAAAATGACGCTTTTTATGAAGTCATGGCCAACTATAGTTTCCATTTAAAAAAAAACTATGTTTGTGTCATATGTCAAAAATGACAGCTTTTAGAAAAAAACGGAGAACACGGTCTCATTAAGGATGTGATTATCTACAACTTTTATCTGAAAACTTTTTGTCTAAAATAGCTTATAATGGAATTAGGGACAATTTTTAAAATAGCCGAAATTTGTTTTTTTCGAAATATCTAGTAAGCCGTGAACTTTTTCAAAAATCTGAAAGGCACATATTTATGACCCCACAAAACTGCAATTCTTTCCCCATTTAAGCGACTCTCTATCTCCAGTAGTTTCCAAGATACCCATAGAGAACATCGTAGGAAACTCACCCTGTATATCAATGTAACTTTAAAAGTAAATCTTTGAAATCAAATATAAACATAAAAAATATTTACAGCAGAAAAGGCGAAGGCGCTGGGTTAAACCTAGTCTCTACTAAGAACACGGAGGGGCGCTTTGACCCAAAATTTTACTATTAAGTTTCATAGCTATCTTAATAGAAGATTATTTTCTTTTATCTATGCTCA